GTTTAGAAGGTAAATCATCAAAACACAAATTGAGCACGGGCACATAAGTACGACTACTTTGTTTCATAAAAGCAATGTATTTATTAACTTATAAAAAACAGTAAAGGTTAAGGACCACTGCATTTGACACATAATCAGTTCAACTGTTTACCAACTTTATGCCAAATTGGCAAATGACTAGATTCCAGAAATCTATTGTGGATTTGACAGGTTATTTAATAGTGCAGTGTGACTTCATTTTCACAAAGACCATAGCATTGCATCTTATTTATATGCTTATATATTGTACATACATACATACATGAATAAAAAACACAGAAGAGGAATTATACACTATGAAACAAAAATTTCTGCAGCGAAATAGCATGTGATGCAAACTCCCGACATGAGGATGTAAAAGACCCTGTGGCACCATGCAAAAGGACAATTCACTGCGTGCCGGTATTATTACTCAGAATACTCAATTTTAACATGATCTGATGCTGTATATAGCATCAGATTTTTTTTAAACACTAGCGATATGGCGCGCATGTATCCATTGCAAATGCTGGTTAAGGACAATGAAGTGAATTCCCATCAATTGCATGTGACTGTTGTGACCAGTTTGAATTCGAATTTAAAACTGCAACAGATTTTGCTAGATAAAATGCATGGAGGCAGTTTCCAATTCATGTACATTTAGAGCACAATTTTACATTACAATGAAAATGCTGCTTCTTCAAGCATAGACTACACACATCACTTCAAATCTGGCCATACCTTGTTCTTGAGTTTGGACAGGCATGACGATGCTCAGTGAATCTTTACAGGGTGGTCATAGAAATTGATCCATCCCAGGAAAGTCACATGAAACATCAAATATGCATTCTGACACAATGAAATTCAATACATTTATTTAAAACCAGGAGAGAGACAGAGAACGCATTGTCACAGAAACCATCTTCTGCAAGCGAGACCTACAACAAAACGCAAGAACACAAACATGCGTGGTACAAAATCCAGCACTGAGAACAAAAACAATCAAACACTTGAGAATTTGTTGTGTTTAAAAACAGCTGCCTCGACGAGAGCCAATCGGGCATTACCGACACCGCGTGGTGCGCGCGTGGCCTCCCCGGGCCGTTCTGCGTGCGAGTGCCGTCGACAGCAGAAATTCGCTCCCTGCGGTGAGACGCGAAGAAATAAATAAGACGGTTGAACAAAACAAAAATGACGCGCTCACAATGCGGCGGGCTCGTTAGTCATTGTCTCGTGCAAGCCACGGGCTTTATAGTGGCCAGAGGTCAGCAGGGTCCCCGTTAATGGTGGTTTCAGGAGACTGCTTGAGAAGTTATCATCATTATTATCATCAAAAAATTGTGTGGATGGAAATTTGACCCCTTTAACGAGGGCCTCCCCACAGCGTGCGGGTCGTGAGTATTATTTGATCACCACGCTGGTCAGTAAGGGTTTGGGGTGAAGGTGGGGAGCATAGATGTTGGAGAATAGAAGTACAGTACAAAAATGTATTATTCGTGCACTGCCCTCTGCTGTCCATACAGCCCACGGTCTTGCCTTTAATACTAATAATTAATTGATGGTAACACATCAAAGTATATGTTCAAGCACGCTTAGCTTCTGAAATCGGGCGTATTCAGGGTGATCTGGCCATCGTCCAAAAATGCCAAACTTCAAACGAACATTGGATAGCAACAATGATCATCAGAATACGCATGCAGTTTTTTATTTAATAAAAACATCCACGTATCAAAAAAAATAAGTACAGTAACTAAATTATGTACGCATGCTCTCCCTCTCTTTTAAATAATCTCATCGGTGCTCGCCGTGGTTTGCTGCATTTTGTACCAATAATGCCCTTTCTTTAGCCAGAACATCCTCAAATTAGACTCAAGACTCTTTAGGAGGGTCCAATATTCGGATGATTAGCATTTTAAATAAATACAGTGAGTGTTTGGCATGTGGGAGTAAACCATATTAACGAGATAAAACCCATGCATATGTAACATTCGAATATTTTCTGAGGTGAATATAATAATCCAATGCCAGTATTTTCATCTCTGGGTCACCTTATAATGGGAAAACCAAATACCTGCCATGCCTTCTCGACTACACTGTATTTGTGCATTGAAGTCAGGTCTCAGCCACCTTCCTGAGAAAGCATTTATTTAAATTCGTGATAATAAAAAAAATCCACAACATAAATGTAATGCTGGTGTCTCCTTCATTGGGAAGGGTTAATTGATGGGTGAAATGTTATTACAATTAGGTGAGACCACATGAAGCCAAGTCTCCTATGCAATAATACAAATTATGGGGAAACTGTACCGTAACAGTGTATGCAGTGCTGCTTCATAGAAACTACTGCATGTGTGTATGTCTGAGCTTTCTGCAGGTACTCCGGTTACCTCACATGTGTCGTAAGACGCATTAATGCAATTGTCAAAAGCATCCTATTGTGTAGGGACCTTCCTGAAAAATGTCTTGAGACTCAAAGACGTTTATTATTCGTATTACAGTATGAGCATCCATACATAGCAACGATTAAATAGGTTTATTTCGTTTTTCAACATCATGCAAATACGCATTTTTAACAACCGTGTAAGCGAACCATCTCATGCAGCCACACTGCCCCCAAGTGGATAAATTCAATATAGCTTTCTTAATGGTCTGGTGCATACACTTGCAGTACTAAGAAAAGTATATCGTCTCCACATACCCTACAAATAAAGCATATTTTTCCCATTAGCTTATTGGCTTCATAAACCAATGCTATTTGTCTATAATATCAGTGGCAAGAGATATCTGAGCCGGTCCCGGGTTTAGTCCCGTTCACCAATCTGCATGGACCAGCATCGTGAAGTTGTATCATTGCCAAACACTCATGACCGACACGGCGTGGAAGGGATTCTTTCATCCAGAGGTCAACTGATAAATGACCGTGCACAACACTGCGTCTAACTTCAAGAGCACACGCTGGTCGTGATGTGAACTGACGAACAATTCGCGTTGACACAATTCACTCGGCTCTCCATGCGTGCGAGTTTAAAAGCCAATTTATGGATCAACTCAACCCATCATCCCATATACATACCCCCACCAGGTTGCGGGCTGGACCAATATTGTACTCCTTTCCCATTGTCAGTCCATTGTCTCCGCACGCATATAACAAAATCAATTTAGTGGCATCCCTCCGCTGCGCCGGTGTGGCACTTTGACATCTGTGAATACAAACGGCTTTATAGCTCATCGGATTCCTGCAGTGTTAAATAAATATTCTGATGAAGACCGCTTGTGTTGCGATCGAAACGTCCTGGGTTTTTTTGCTTTTCATTTCATTTAAATGTTCTATCAACGTGACTTTACCGAAGGAACGAAAGCATATAAATATTATGATTCTTGAAAACAAATAAGTGGCGTGGGGTGGTGGGGGGTATGGTGGTGGGGATTTGGTGGGGGGTATAGTGGGGGGTTTGGTGGGAGGGGTGTGGTGGGCGGTATGGTGGGGAGGTATTTGATGGGGGGTATGGTGGCAGGCGGCGTGTGGTGTGGGGTGGTATTGTGGAGGGGAGGGGTTGGTGGGGGGGATTTGGTGGGGGTATGGTGTTGGGGGGTGTGGTGAGGGGCGGAATTTTGGGGGGGGTATGGTGGGGGGGATTTTGTGGGGGATTTGGTGAGGGGGTATGGTGGGGGGGTTTGGTGGAGGGGGGGTGTGGTGGGGGGCGGTATGGTGGGGGGGTTTGGTGGGAGGGGTGTGGTGGGTGGTATGGTGGGGGGTGTGGTGGGGGGTGTGGTGGGGGGTATGGTGGGGGGTTTGGTGGGAGGGGTTTGATGGGAGGGGTATGGTGGGGGGTATGGTAATGGGGTGTGGTGGGGGGCGGTATGGTAGAAGGGTTTGGTGGGAGGAGTGTGGTGGGGGGTTTGGTGGGGGGTATGGTGAGGGGGTGTGGAGGGGGGTATGGTGGGGGGTATGGTGGGGGGGGGGTGTGCTGGGGGGGCGGTATGGTGGGAGAGGTTTGGTGGGAGGGGTGTGGTGGTGGGGTTTGGTGGGGCGTATAGTGGGGGGATTTGGTGGGAGGGGTGTGGTGGGGGGGGTATTTGGTGGGGGGTATCGTGGGGGGGTGTGGTGTGGGGCGGTATGGTGGGGGGGTTTGGTGGGGGGGATTTGGTGGGGTGGTATGGTGGGAGGGATTTGGTGGGGGGTATGGTGGGGGGGTGTGGTGGGGGGCGGTATGGAGGGGGGGTGTGGTGGAGGGTATGGGGGGGGTATGGTGGAGTGTTTGGTGGGAGGGGTGTGGTGGGGGGTATGGTGGGGGGGTTTTTGTGGGACGGGTATGGTGGGGGTATGGTGGGGGTGTGTTGGGGGGTATGGTGGGGGGGATTTGGGGGGGTTTGGTGGGAGGGGTGTGGTGGGGGGGTGTGGTGGGGGTATGGTAGGGGTGTGGTGGGGGGGGGTGTGGTGGGGGGTATGGTGTTTGGTGTGTGGGGGGTGTGGTGGGGGGTATGGTGGGGGGGCTTGGTGGGAGGGGTGTGGTGGGGGATATGGTGGGAGGTGTGGTGGGGGGGTTTGGTGGGAGGGATATGGTGGGGGGTATGGTGGGGGGTATGGTGGGGGCGTTTGGTGGGAGGGGTGTGGGGGGGGGCATGGTGGAGGGTATGGTGGGGGGTGTGGTGGGGGGTGTGGTTGGGGGGTGTGGTGGGGGGTGTGGTGGGGGGTTTGGTAGGGGGGTTTGGTGGGAGGGGTATGGTGGGGGGTGTGTTGGGGGGGTATGGTGTGGGGTATGGTGGGGGGTATGGTGGGGGCGTTTGGTGGGAGGGGTGTGGGGGGGGCATGGTGGGGGGTATGGTGGGGGGTGTGGTGGGGGGTGTGGTGGGGGGTGTGGTGGGGGGTATGGTGGGGGGTATGGTGGGGGGTATGGTGGGGGGGTTTGGTGGGAGGGGTTTGGTGGGGGGTATGGTGGGGGGTGTGGTGGGGGGTATTCGGACCGCGCCGTGTGGGCGGAGCCAACGTCCGAGTCGTCCAATGGGAGCGCGCGGAGGGTGGCGCGAACCCGGCGCGCGCGCGAACATGGATTTCCCGCGCTTCGACTCGGCGATAAACCCCCAAACAACAACAACAAACGTGACATTAACAATCAAACTAAGTAACACCGCCGTGTAAATTATACCGCGTGTATTTATTCATAATATCCGAGTGGTTTTGAGAACCGGCTACGAAAGTGTATTTATTATCTGAGAGGATTAAACAACGTTACGAGGTCAGACGTTAGTTTTTGTTTTTGCTTGTTAAAGTAACACAAAGCCTCCGAGAGGCCGCGATTATTGATTTGCATGTTTTAAATATCCACGTTTCTAATACGCGGAGGAGGGAGGTTCGCGATGGCAGCGGCGTCCGGACGTCAGGCGCTGAGCGACATTTCCAACCCTCAGATCCAAGGTGTCACCTCCTAATCATCTCATAATGCCTCGTCTTGTCATCATCCTATTAGTCTCATCATCATCCCCCAGTGTCTCATCATAATCCGGTGTCTCTTCATCCCCCAGTGTCTCATCATCCCCCAGTGTCTCCTCATCCCTCAGTGTCTCCTCATCCCCCAGTGTCTCCTCATCCCCCAGTGTCTCCTCATCCCCCAGTGTCTCCTCATCCCCCGGTGTCTCCTCATCCCCCGGTGTCTCCTCATCCCCCAGTGTCTCCTCATCCCCCAGTGTCTCCTCATCCCTCAGTGTCTCCTCATCCCCCAGTGTCTCCTCATCCCCCAGTGTCTCCTCATCCCCCAGTGTCTCCTCATCCCCCAGTGTCTCCTCATCCCCCAGTGTCTCCTCATCCCCCAGTGTCTCCTCATCCCCCAGTGTCTCTTCATCCCCCAGTGTCTCCTCATCCCCCGGTGTCTCCTCATCCCCCGGTGTCTCCTCATCCCCCGGTGTCTCCTCATCCCCCGGTGTCTCCTCATCCCCCAGTGTCTCCTCATCCCCCAGTGTCTCCTCATCCCCCAGTGTCTCTTCATCCCCCAGTGTCTCCTCATCCCCCAGTGTCTCTTCATCCCCCAGTGTCTCCTCATCCCCCAGTGTCTCTTCATCCCCCAGTGTCTCCTCATCCCCCAGTGTCTCTTCATCCCCCAGTGTCTCCTCATCCCCCAGTGTCTCCTCATCCCCCAGTGTCTCCTCATCCCCCAGTGTCTCCTCATCCCCCAGTGTCTCCTCATCCCCCAGTGTCTCCTCATCCCCCGGTGTCTCCTCATCCCCCGGTGTCTCCTCATCCCCCGGTGTCTCCTCATCCCCCAGTGTCTCCTCATCCCCCGGTGTCTCCTCATCCCCCAGTGTCTCCTCATCCCCCGGTGTCTCTCATCCCCCAGTGTCTCCTCATCCCCCGGTGTCTCCCTTATCCCCCAGTGTCTCCTCATCCCCCGGTGTCTCCTCATCCCCCGGTGTCTTCTCATCCCCAATGTCCCTCATCCCCCGGTGTCTTCCGTCATCCCCCAGTGGCCTCCGTCATCCCCCGGTGTCTCCCTCAATCCCCCGGTGTCTCCTCATCCCCCAATGTCTCCATCCCCGGTGTTCATCCTCACCCAAGTGTCTCCTCATCCCCACAGTTGTCGCCTCATCCCCCAGTGTCCTCCTCATTCCCCCCGGTGTCTCCCTCATTCCCAGTGTCTCCTCATCCCCCGGTGGTCTCCTTGCATCCCCCAGTGTCTCCCTCATCCCCCGGTGTCTCCTCATCCCCCAGGTCTCCTCCTCATCCCCCGGTGTCTCCTCATCCCTGGTGTCTCCGCATCACCCCAATGTCTCCTCATCCCCCGGTGTCTCCTCATCCCCCAATGTCTCCTCATCCCCCGGTGTCTCCTCATCCCCCGGTGTCTCCTCATCCCCCGGTGTCTCCTCATCCCCCGGTGTCTCCTCATCCCCCGGTGGTCTCCTCATCCCCCGGTGTCTCCTCATCCCCCGGTGTCTCCTCATCCCCCGGTGTCTCCTCATCCCCCAGTGTCTCCTCATCCCCCGGTGTCTCCTCATCCCCCGGTGTCTCCTCATCCCCCAATGTCTCCTCATCCCCCGGTGTCTCCTCATCCCCCAATGTCTCATCCCCCGGTGTCTCCTCATCCCCCGGTGTCTCCTCATCCCCCAGTGTATCCTCATCCCCCGGTGTCTCCTCATCCCCCGGTGTCTCCTCATCCCCCAGTGTCTCCTCATCCCCCGGTGTCTCCTCATCCCCCGGTGTCTCCTCATCCCCCAGTGTCTCCTCATCCCCCAGTGTCTCCTCATCCCCCAGTGTCTCCTCATCCCCCGGTGTCTCCTCATCCCCCGGTGTCTCCTCATCCCCCAGTGTCTCCTCATCCCCTTTCTCTCCTTGTCCTATTTGTTTCCTTATCCCCTTGTCTCCCACACCTCGCCTCTCCCCTCTCGCTCCCCATTGTTACCATTGCATTGTCCTCGTTTCCATGATCATATGCATCTCATTCATCTGCTTGTCCATCTGGTTTCTCTGGTTTATTTGTCCCACATGTTTTGTATTGTTTGGTTCGTTGTAAATTTTATGACCCGCTGCTACTGGACGTCTCTGAAAAAGAGCTTAATAGCTCATCGGATTCCTCCAGTCTAAATAAAGATAACGATTTGTGCCCAGTGTCCATGTCCCCCATCAACCTCGTCTCGTCCCCGTGCCCCCACATCTCATTTAGCAATTCGGTTGTATGTTGAGCTGACAAAATGGTTGTATTTGTGCATCTATATACACACATTTTGTATGTGCTTATACTCTTATACTCTTAATAAGCCTGAAGTTGTGTTTTGCGTGGTCCATTTCAGAGACGCAAAGACGCTTATATGAAGACCTTCTGGACCCAACGGGATCTCCTATGACGCCTAACTCACTAAATCGGCGACGTCGGTCAAAGACTACCCCCTGTAAACCAGCAGACGAGCCCGTGGTGTGCGTTCCAAACTCAGGTAAACTGCGCTTAGCGCATTATAATCAGTGCCAAGGCGTTCAGAGTAGTACCATGGTGTACCATGTCCAAAAGTGCTAATTACTCTTCAGAGCAATGTTCTTCACTAAATTGCAGAGCGGAAGCCACTTTTGCCAATAATACATAATCAGTTTGAGAGCCGCCACACATTTTAAACCATTGGGGTTTGACAGAACAATGGGGGGGGGGGGTTCTAGATTTGAAGTTTTCGTGACTGCAAGGATCCATACTCTTGGGTTTTTTCGGTAAAGTCACGTAGGTAAAAAATATTAAATTCATTAAAATGAAAAACAAATACAATTAATCATGACGTTTCGGAAGCAACACAAGCAACCGTCATCAGGTGTTGACTGCTCCAGCAAAATTACTCAAGGACACCAGGGTTCTTTTGTCACATTTGTGTATTGTCAGGGGCCGCACTGAAGGACAACAGGGGTCAGCAAATGGCCCGCGGGCCTTGCAATCAAGAACACTGCTTTAGACCGTCGTACAGAAACCATACAAAGTCAACCAACCCACTGTTTTTTGTATTGCCTGTATGCAGAAACAGACCAGGGCGTCTTGTATGAGACACCTCCCTTTTCCTCCCAGCGGAAGAGACCCGTCCTTTCTCAAAAGAAGCCCTTCATTGCTGACGAGACCCCTTGCAGGTGCTCTGCAACAACAGGTGACCGACCAAAACCCCATCCTCACCTTTGTTGGCATCGGCCGTGCATGCGTGTCAGAATCTTGTGCAGCAGCTGAAAGAATAAAAATGTACCCGTAAAAACAAAGTTTTTCACTATAAATCCTTTATATGCGTGGCGGCTAGCGTCCTCTCGTCCTCTGGCTTGAGATGGCTGCCACCTATGGGTCAGATGATTGTCTGCCAGCATTAAGCAATTGGTAATTAAATATTTAATTTTTTTCCCTAAACAGTGTAAAATTTTGGAATTTTTTTTTTCACGAAAATTAATTGTCACGCACAACGAGTCTGTGTGGAAAATGTCAGCTCGATTGGATCACGGGAAGTGGGTAAAAAAACGACCGAAAGATTTGCACGGTCGTAAGCAAGCACGCAAGCAAGCGAACTTAATATAAAGGATTTAAAAACAGATGAGTTTTCTGTTGTCTGCAAGACTGTGCGCAGTTGTGCGAGTGTTTGAATTCTAAAGTTTTTGCAGGCCTGACGATCAAGAAAAAGAGGATTCCCAGCACCGAGGAGGTGACGGAGCGACCGCAGCTGCAGACAATACTGGCTGCGCTGAGCAGGGATCAGCTGGTGTCACTCATTGGCACATTTCTCGAAAGACACCCGGACCGAGAAGGGGTGAGTGTGACACGGCGAAGCGGTGGCATTTCTCCCGTGACTGAAAATCTCAATCCAGATAAGCCCTCATTGATTTGAAACACTTTGATTGGATGTTGCTTGGAATTTTATGGAAAGTGATTTTTGTTGTTTTTGTTGTGTCTTTAGTGAGGAAACATCGAAAATGTTGGGGGAAATTCCACGCATGCAAGGACAGTTTGCAACTTGCTTGATGTACTGTCCCCTAGAGGAACCGTCTGGTGTAACCAGACTCGAGTATTTGGCTATTAAATTCTACATAAGGCTGTTATCATGTGGTCAGGTCGCTTCGAGTCATTGCTGTATCGCTCAGTGGGCCTTACCTTCTAAAATTTTAAATAGTTCAATCGTAACCAAGTTTGTAAAAACCTGCACCGATTTCCGTTGTCAAAAGTTATCTGTTTGTCAAACGTGAGCTTAACTCCTTTTGCTCACGACTTTACAAGTCCACATGCTTAAACAGTTTTGCGAACATCAGAACAGCACTCATAGTACTCTTTGGTTCTTTTGGTAAAGTCACGTAGATATAAAATCAAATAAATCACGACGTTTCGGGTGCAACACAAGCGTCCGTCATCAGGTGGGAAAGCATGGCCTGCTGCTGAGGCAGACTTTTAAAACGTCGTGATTTATTTTATACCTACGTGACTTTACCAAAAGAACCAATATTATGGATTCCTGCAGTCACGAAAGCTTAAAATCAAGATTAGCACTCATAGTAGTTATCAGCTGTATGCTTGCAATGTCAACAATCACCCTTGAGTGTTAGTGATGGCACTCTTAAGCCACGACAAACCAGCAATGCCTTGACATCTCATTTGCAGGAACTGAGGAGCCTCATCCCAACGCCAGATGTGACCCCTCTGATAGAAAATCTTGAGAGCCTGAAGAAAACCATCTACAAATCTTTCCCCAGCTCACGGTCTGGGTCCCACCGTGATTCCTTCTGCTACAGAAGAGTAATCTCTCACCTTCAGGCTTTCAGAGTGAGCTTTGTCCTTGAAAGTTATATGACTAACATCACCAGCTTCCATCATGAACAACTCATCAACGCACAGTTTTATTATTTTTTTGTTAAATCTCATTAAAGCAAAACTAGATCACTCCAATAGGCCTAAATTATGCAAACGAACATCACAATGTTACATGCCCCACAAGCAGTCTCCATCACATGTCAATCAAACTAAAGTTTATTAAAGCATGAATTTTGACAAATTGTGTGAAAAAACTAATGCATTCGTGACTAGACAAACCATCAGCTCACAATTCTTGAGAACGGGTTAATCAGAGGTGTGCATGAGGTATTTTATATTTTTTTCTGAAGGAAGCTTTGGATTTATTGACAGACCACATGCCAGGAGCAAGGGAAGATTCTGCTTCAGAGTCAGTTTCACGAGGCCATGCTGGAATACTCCCTTCTGGCTTGCTCCACTGTCGCAGCTCTTCCCGACTGGGATAACGTTGCCCACAACGCAGTCAAGCAGCGCTGCTTCCGAACGCTCACCATGCAGTGCATGTCTGCGCTGAGCAAAAGCACCTACGAGAGGGAAGGATATACCCGTTTACGGAAGAGGTGATTAACAACACCGTATAATTAATCTCAAAAGAGAAGTGCCTGCATATTGGATTAGTCATTCGATTAATTGCAAGTGTGGGAATGTTAAGACGTGATCCCATTTTTTCCCCATTCCAGGTTCGAGATTGTGTGCACCATCAACAGCGAGCTGCAGCCCTGCCTCCTGGAAGTGGAACGAAAGCTTAGCCAACTGTAACAGCTTTATGTTGCGGTGTGAAATACGTCCTACCAAATATCCACTATTTAAATGTGTTGGCAGTTAAATACAATAATTTTTTAATGTTACAAAAAATGTATTAACTGTAAAGACTACTGAAGTCAAAATATTCACGATTTTGGCACTTTAGTGATGGTGCTTTCATTTAATGGTGCTGTTGTTCATAATCTTCTGCGTGTGAAGTTGCCCAAGTGTTAGTTTTGCTTTGGGATTTATTTTTAAGTCGTTCCTATAAAAAATATTTGCACAAGTCCAATCTAATCAGCATGGACTATAATCTAATACTCAAGCCAACATTCTACTATGCCACGTACACATTGCATAGGGTGATCCAGATGTCGTGACCGCAATTTAATTCTCTAAAACTTAATATTTTAAAGTAAGATATATTTAAAACAAATTAATATGCAAAGGAAACACGTTAGCTGTAAATTAATTGTGGGTCACAAAGACATCCGTACGACCCTGTTCATGATTTGGCGAGTGCACAAACTAGGTGGCGCTAGATGCCTGTTGTATATATTATCTGAATGTCATGTACCTTTGTTTCAATTAACTATTTAGAAGTTTCCATGCATTCAAGCACAACTTTTGCTTGTATTGAAATGTGGCATTCAAATTTTTTTAAACATTTTAATGTGGAGTTTATCACCTATATTAACATTCAAATGTATTAAGCGTGCCTTAAAATATCTTGCTTTATTCACTTTAGGAAATCCTAATGAATTGCATATTAAAGTGGTTTCGTTTGAAAACGGCTCTGCAGGAATTATTTCGATGCAACCTAAAAAGTTCACCTTTAACCTGTAAAAACTGGGATTTTGAAAACACAACGACATTCAACTGTTAATATATTTATGTTTACAGTAATACCGACTCATGAACATTGAATCTTTAAGCCACTGCTAGGCTATGAAGGTATTTTTTCACAAATGTTAGTGAAAACCTCGGGCTGAAAAACTGTTCAGTTAGTCACGCAATTTTAAAAGAACTTGCTTTCAAAAAGCCAATGGAATTAGGATTGTCTACCACGCTTCATGACAAGATTTATTCCGCTGCAAAGTACAAAAAATCTTGACGCAAAGCTTTCCTGACTGCAGGAATTTATATTCTTCGGGTCTTTTCGTTAGTCACGTAGATAGAAAAAATTATAAATGAAAATAAAGTGAATTAAAAAATATATTTTTTTATTTTATACTTTATTTTCATGTTTTACTTTTGTTTTTTTCTATCCATGTGCCTTTACCGAAAGACCCAAAGAATATAGTACACAACAGGATTTAAAAGTCCATTGTGGCACGTTGTGATTTGTGTCATGTAAGTGAATTATAAATACACATCCACTGCCCTGGATGTTTTTCAATCTTTTATTTGTCCCATCGATTGCAGTACTGCACCCAGTGACATACTTTAGACACCCAGGATTGCCGAAGGGCAGTTTTCATCATACACTATTGACTTAGGGCTCCAGATTTTGCATGTAAACACAGGTCTGCCCTTGCAAAAGCCACCACAAACTTAACACTTGGAAACATACCAGCTTACCACAGCAGCTTCCAAGAACGGAGCATAACACCTGCACGCACCGCAGCCACCACTGGAAAAAAAAAAAACTTAAGTCTTTCCTATCAGAACTCTGCAGCATCGCATTTCCCACTACTTGAATCCCAGAGGACTAAAGGTCAGGGTTACCTGCTTTTTCACTTGACCATATGCCAGTTTGATGTAGAACACAATTGGACAAAAAAAATCAAGGTTCAATGCAAAAGCAGATTATGCTTCAAATGTTTTTATTTCGAATATCAACTAAAACGTAATTATAAAAACCAGATGTAAATATAGACACCAACGCTCAAAAACGTTCAGAAAAACTTGGAACTGTGGTTAAAAATACCAGTTGTGTGAAAGAAAAAGACAGCAGCAAAGCACAACGCCAACATTGCCTGGACCAATAGCAACAAAGTTGTTGCTGTCGACAAGCTCAGAATTCATGCTGGTGTGTGGACTGGTACACGTGAACCCCCCCCCCCACCCAAATCTCGTAGCCTCCTAAGGCCCGACAACGCCACAAACTCTCCCATCCCCCAACCCACGTGGCCACAAACGTTCTAGAAACCTACATTATGAACAGGAGTCCGGTCTATGCCCCCCACAAGCGAACACATCTTAACAAATAGCTTCGGGAGGCGGTGTGGGTTGAGGTTACATCCAAATTGTTTTGAAGGTGAAGAGGCTGGAGAAATAGCGCTCAACTTCCAACTCAAGAACCAGCGGCTCCATTAAACTAAATATCCGTCCCGCCGATGTGAGCCCCAAAAGCCATCGCATTGCTAAACCGATTACTCAGGCTACTTTCTAGAAAACTATTGGGTGTACCTCGGGGGGAGGGGGAGCAGACACGTGGGAGAGTGGCGAATTAAAGAGATGGAACGAACAGCCTTTGGTGAAGGCAACACGTGGGATGGGTGCTGGGGGCCCCCCTTTCGGCACAGGGTTAGGCGATTGTCTGGCTCAATGAACAACCGCATCAACCAACCTCACAACCACCTCGGCTCACATCCACTCCACCAACCAATCGCGTTCCGCTTTGCTCAAAAAGACAACACGGGTCTCGCTTAGCAGCCGCTCACGCGAGCCTACACTGCAATGTACCCATCAGCAACGATAACAAAACTGTGCACACCCGAGAAATTGGTTTAATCTTTTACCATCGTTAAGCCCCGCCATGTAGGCAATCCCCCCCACACACACAAACCCCCCTTTGCTTTTAAAGCGTGGCGACATCTTGCCCGCCGTGTTAGGCGCACGCCATTTTCCCATAGTAACTGCGTCTCCCCCTTCCCCATGTTGGACTACCCGAGCGGTCAACCCACCCGGGGGTTATTGTCACGTTGAAACGCAGAACAATCGTCACAATTGAAAACAAAATCAACCAAAGCAAGCACAGTTACTGCTGTTGAAACCCAAGCGGTACGTACACACAAGCACGGCACGTGGGGGAAAGGGGGGGCACAGCAATTAACTCTTAACATCACCAACTTATAATTAACGCCACTAATCCCGATATCTCCTGGGCTTCGTCAGCATCGTTAATTCATACAACCTCCCACCCTTAAAAGCAGATTTCCCATCGTTTACCCAAATACCAGAGCATCACCAGCCCCCCACGATGTCGACCATCAACCAACCCACCCCCCCCCCCCCCCGAAGCTCGCAGGTGAACGGTGCCAGGGGCTGGGACCACGGGGTCTTCTCTGCTCACATCATCCCACCACGCTGCCCAGTCCATGTGGTGGTGGCGGCGACGGAGCCGTGCACAGTCGGGCTGCGTTGTCGTAGATGAAGACGGCAGAAGAGGTCGTCGGTCGTAGAAGAATGGAGGCGGTCATAGAGGTGTAAGTAGAAGAAGAGGAGGAGGAGGGGGGGGAGGCATGCGCATGGAGGAAAAACGCGCTCAGTACTCCTGCGACTGCGACGACTTCTTGCCGGCCTTGCCGCCGCTGCCGCTGCTCGCCGCCTGGCCCGTCTTCTTGGGCAGCAGCACGGCCTGGATGTTGGGCAGCACGCCGCCCTGCGCTATGGTCACGCCGCCCAGCAGCTTGTTGAGCTCCTCGTCGTTGCGGATGGCGAGCTGCAGGTGTCGGGGGATGATCCTCGACTTCTTGTTGTCGCGGGCGGCGTTTCCCGCCAACTCGAGGATCTCGGCCGAGAGGTACTCGAGCACCGCGGCCAGGTACACGGGCGCGCCGGCACCCACCCGCTCCGCGTAATTGCCCTTGCGCAGAAGGCGGTGAACGCGACCCACGGGGAACTGCAGCCCGGCGCGGGAAGAACGCGACTTGGCCTTGGCGCGGGCTTTGCCACCGGTCTTGCCTCGTCCAGACATGGCTTAGGTTTTCTTTTGTCTCGCTGGCCCGGGCCCCGCTGTTGCTGCAGCTGAAGCGACGATCGCCGATGAGTCGAGCCGCGAAGTGGCGCGAAGTGAGCCGAGCCCGCCAAATGCTCGTGTTTATATAGATTTTGGGGGAGTGGGCGTGGCCTCGCTCGTCGATCCACCAATGGGAGCGCGGCGTTGGCTCCCGCGCACCCCCACCCCCCTCGCGTCATGGGCGCGAGGGGGGGGGGGCGCGCGCAGCGACCGTTGCGTTTTGGCGCCAAAAAAATCGTTCTGACGTCGTTTCATTAAAACGACGAAACATATTTAAGAGAATTAACGTCACTGCGGTGAAGTTATAAAACAAAAAAGCGCTTTGCAAAGTACACTTGTGCCCATAGACTTCCTCAAAAAGCACTTAAGTACTGTATTCTGTAATTTATGTGCAGTTTCCGCCTCGGTGCTTGCACTGTGCTAACAATTGGGTGACACCTCACGCAAGAGAATAAATGGCAGAGAAATATCAATGCCACATTACTACTGTGTGTTAGCGCTCCAAATAGTTTCAATTAAAGGTTGAAACAACCTCTTGAGGGACTAAAGTGTCGTGCGTTGAACTTCTTTCGCACCGTACGTAGCCAACAGTGCTAATCGTGGTACTGTACAGTAATGTTAGATCATGTTAAACCACACTGAACCAAGTACTCTGAACATATCACTAAGTTTACAGCATCTACGTTTTAAAGATGTTTTTAATTAAATTACAAGCCGTTCAATAAGTGGGATAGTTTGTGTTTTTATATCAAACTTAAACTCCCACGACTTTAATTCCCAATTACAATAAAGAATTTGCCTAAATGCAGATACAAAAATCAAATATTTGTGTCCGTTCCATGTGACCTGGCATAATCCTCGTGAAGTAACATTTTTTTTATCATCATACAACGTCCTATAAAAGTGTCAAACCAAGATCCAGTATTTTCCTTTCACTTTATTATTCCGAACCAATTTATTCCAGCTCCATAACCTCAGCACAATTCCTTTTTCCGTCACCATCTCTTCCTTCCACGTGGTCCACATCTCAGTGCATTCATTTAGTAGCGGTGCACAAGCACAAATTCTCATCAAGTTCGTCATGGACACACGTGTATGATGAGTCTGACCTTTAGACTCATCATGGCTCAAAATCCAAAGGCCTTTAAAAGTTTCTTCAGAAATTTTATACAAAAAAAACCTTCACGCTTTCCTGCACAAATTATTGAGGCGGTGCTAATCTATTTACAGCCCTGAGCCAGTGGTGTACATTCCACATTCATGTGGCGGGGGCGAGTTTATCCACGGGACCATTGCTGACTTCCCCACAAACTAGTTATCTATTTTACAGAACCCAGGATGATGGGCTGGCATCCTACAACCAGGATTTGAAGTTGCAACCTTCGGATTATGAGTTGCTCCCTCTTCACAAACCACCTGACCGGATCTTAAAATAGCATCCTGTTTTGGTCTAAAATATGTTTTGCCAAAAGCCACTTTGCCTATAGAAATCCTGAAATTTGTCTCCAGAGCATTTACCCTCGCACGTCAAAATACTCCCCAGATAGTAAGAAATTAATCCAATCGGCTACTTTGATTAGCATCTATTGCCTGGGTATTTATATTTAAAATTTACAATGGCAGACCCACGTAAAACCCTAACATAAACAGAACAGCCTAGAACCTCCCTGCCCCATACCGTCTTGGAGTAGGGTACCACCCAGGAGTTCAAGACCACACACGTTGCAGTTCAAGTCCATATCCCTGGACTCTACACAAGTGTGTAACGGCCTCCGCAATCCGCATTGGAACTGGAACGATTAGTCAATAAAGTGTATTAATCGACTCAAATTTGGCAACTTCTTTAAAGTCAATTATCCAAGTGCCTTTAAAAATGGTGGCAAACCCCAAAATCCTGCCTCCAAAAGACAAGCCTCGCTTCATCACCTCCCATCCAGCGGCACACGTGTTAATAGAGGCATGACCTTTTTTCCCCAACCACTCCTGCGTTATTCGACGAGTTGAGAGTAAAACCGAACCGATCAACGGTAATCAATTCCTTAAATAATTTGATATTCCGGCTCTACCTGAGTGATGCGATGAGCTCTACTCTCCATTGGTCGAACTGGGCTTCTGAAGTCAATGGGGATGCACAGCAGAAGGGCCGGAGCGTATGTGCAGTTGGAAATGCAGATGCCGTTTCACTATAAAGGGCCAGCGTAGTAAAGCTTGAAAGCATTTGGCAATTCAGCACAGCTGACTCATTTGACATGTTTATTTATCAATCACCAGCTTACTTTTAAATGAACGATACAAATGAACTCACACATTACAGTTCCGCAGAATAACCAAGTTCACATGATAAACATGGATAATTACCGTATTGAAATAAAACACGTGGTTAGACAAAGTCGATTTCCAATGCTCGAATAAGTTGTTCGTGTTTTGGAAAACAAAAGTACAAATAAAACATTGTACCAACTTTAAAATTATCACTTAGAACCAGGGAAAATATGTACCTGTCCTTATTTTAAATGCACTTGGCAAGAAAAATATGTCTAAGTGAAGTCATTTGTCCAACTAACTGGAAACAGTGTTAGCAATTTCATTAAACATTACTAATTTATATCTCCACACGTGGACACAATATTTTGTGTACGAATAAAAAATAGCCCACATACAAATGTGACAATTTCAACGCTTCCAATGGCTGCATTACTTCATCCGTAGAAAGCAACACACAGGACAATGTGTGCCAATGCAACTGAATGGATTTTATTGGAAAAATGCATCACCCCTTCCTTTACCTTAAAAGTTAAAGTATGAAATAGAAGGGTACAAACTGCACACGTTTATGCAATGCAAAAACGGTCTGCTCTCTGTTTTGCTTCTAAGTCTCCGTATCATCAGCAGCAACAGCCGAAGACTCATTCACGACCCCAAACCGCTTCTTCCTCTCTTCCACTTGCTCTTCCTCCACCACCTCCTCCTCCTCCTCTGCATTCTGAGCTGCGTCGTGAGGTCTTTTTAGGGATTTCGCCGCAGTTGGGGTTGCCGCATTGGCGGCGGCAGCAGCTGCTTGGTTGGCCTGATGATGCAACGCTTTGACCATGGCCTGCAGGTGCAGCGGCGGGTGGAAGTATCGGCACTTTGGGCGCATGCAACGGGCCATGACGAAGTCCATGCACACAGTGACTCGACCATCAACTGGATCTATCAGCTTCAGGTCAGGGGGGTGCGCCAGCCGACAGCTGGTGTTCAACAGCGGGCAGCTGCCACGCAAGAATTCCGTGCACACTTCCAGCTTGTCAGGGCGGAGTGGGGTCTGCGTGCCGAGCTGCAGGGATGCAGCTGCTTGCATTGCGTTCATCACGAGCGTGGCATAGGCAGTAGGGACCCCGGCCGCTTTGGCCAGGATTTCCGGCGAGGGATAGGTCACCGCCGGGGTCAGCGAAGAAGCAAGGTAATTCCCATAGGGCAAAGAAGACGCAGCCTGGGGTTGCGCACTCAGCTGCGGGTACGTGTGCACGGGGGCGAGCATGGAGGGAGCGGTCATCTGCATTTGCGAAATCGCCGTGACATTCTTTTGTTGGATCCCATGATTTTTTCCACTGATCTCGAGCTGCATCTTGAAATGCTTGGGCGGGTGAAAATACTTGCAGTTCTCGCGTGTGCAGCGCCCCTTGACGAAGTCGAAGCAGGCTATGACGCGGCCGTGGGGGGCGGTGACGTGTTTGGGTGGGTGTGCGTAGCGGCACTCGTCCTCCGTGCGCGAGCACGTGCCCCTCTGGAAGTCGCGGCACACCTCCAGCATGAGCCAGTTGTTGTCGCGGGAGCCAGCCTGGTTCGAGGCAGCGACCGCCAGTGCCACGTCACTGTTTATGCTCCCTTCTTCGAAGAGACCAGCCCCGCTCCCTCCTATTGGGAGTTGAGCCCTCTTGGTGCCTCCTACTGTGAAGAGAAAAAAGAATATTGCAAATATTTAAAATACATTTTCATTTTTTGTTATCAATTATTATAATAAAGGGAAGCCTTGTCAATATATTCAATAACTAATTCTGCATCTAAGGTATATGCCGTTGAGAAGAAACCACACTTTCTGACTTTCCCTCACTTTCACGAACGAGCAGTTATTTGGCGAATGCTACAATAATGCCTGATGATCCCCTCTCTGCATCACCACTCCCACTTCTTCCTTTGACCCAAAGAAAGTGTGCAAACTTTCTCCTCGTGTCTTTTTTTTGTCTCTTAAAAAGCCCCTCAATTAGGCCAGAATAATGTATCGAGGTTCGAATAGTGGCTCCGTTGGAAAGAGGCACAGGTAACCCTTTTATCTATTTTGCCAGTTTTATATAGGGCAAGTCAGTTATCGCAACACTTCATACTAAAATGTAAATTATATTAAATCATCTTCATGGGCATTGTCATGACCCCAAATTACAGAAAAAACAGACATACAGACAAGAGCGAAAGCATTAAACCTTGGTTGAAAAGTGTTAAGAACTAATCGGAATAACCTGCTGAATGGTGAGGTCCTCCTGCACCGGCCGGCGTTGCAAGGTGAGGCGGCGCATGGAGATACTTGCAGTTCTCGCGCGAGCAGCGCCCCTTGAGGAAGTCAAAGCAGGCTATGACGCGCCCGTTGGAGATGTTCACGTGCTGTGGTGGATGCGCGTAGCGGCATTCCTCCGCCGTGCGCGAGCACGAGCTCCTCTGGAACTCGCGGCACACCTCCAGCAGCAGCCAGTTGGTGTCGCGGGACGCCAGGCTAACAGAATCCATGTTGTTCTCGTCGTTGTACATGAGTCCTTCGAGGTGAGCGCCCACAAAGGGTACTGCTGTGAGTAAGGATGCACCGACTATTTGTAAGTATTCAAGTAATTTATAACAAATATATCGTTTTTAAATAATCAAGCTTTCTAATACATGCACCTCTTGTCTTATCTGCATGCACATAAACAGATTGGTGTAAATAATGCTACTTGGGAATAAACCTCCATCAAATTACCACTATCCCTCCCCTCAAGTAACAGCTTGTGTAATAGGCTCATGCTACATTAACCCCTGGCGAGTCTCTGACCTATCCTGACATTTTCTCTGGGTTTTCACCTGATGTCACTATTACTTCCACTTCCTCACTCAATACAAAACTATGCGTGTCTGTCCTGGTGTTTGCGAGTCCTCGTACCTCTCTCCCCTCGTGTAACACTCTCATTTTCCTCTCGCGTCTCACTCTACTCGTGTATCTCATGTTTTTATCTTTGTACGTCTCTCATCTATCACTATATACCCTTGTACATGTCTCGTGTTTCAGGTCTTCGTAAGTGTAGAATTTGTGCGTTCATAAATGTATATGTGAAGGTGCATGTGTGCCACTGTGCCACCACTCCAGCCCAAAATAATTAATATATAATCAACATCATGTACAAATAGGTTACATAATAAAGTTAAAGGCCTAGCCGTGAGCTTTACCGGTTCCTGCTGCACGGCAAGCTCTTTCCCCCAGCAGCAGTCGACAGTCGGCTCCGAAAATCTGGACGTCTCCTCACCGTCGAAAATTCTTCCTCCAATTTAAAACAAACTGTTCACGTCTGACTCGCATACAACACACAAATTTAATAAGATACCATCCGAGGCAAATGTGACTTCATCCATGATATTTAGAACAGCTAAAATGTCCGTATGATATTTGGTCCAAGTATTCATTCACACACTTACATACAAATTAATCCCAGTGACGTTTAGATCTTCTTGGTTCTTTCGGTAAAGTCACGTAAAAGGGAAATAATAAAATAATAAAAATAAACATAATAAAATACAATTCTCACGACGTTTCGGCCACAACGCAAGCCGATCTTTCTGATAGATATAGCTTACACGTACGTCCTATCCTGAAGAGGAAATTTGCCACAATCACAGAGACAAACTATTAGTCGAAATAACTGATAAACCACCAATAACTGGTAAACCACTGAATTGTCTCTCCTAATAAACCTGGAAATACAATTCTTGAAATGGGTGCCATTGAACGCTGGGAACCTTTTTCCACATGGTATGGAACTTTTTCTTAAAATCTTAAAAATAAAACGTGCATTGCTGAATATAAATTCGTTGTATAACTTGCCTTCCATTATCAATGAAAATATTTCCTCAAGGCATCACCACTGCCATATAGCAGAAGTGTATATATATAAAATTGACAAACATTTTCAGGTTTGATGACAAGCTCTCTGAAGAAAAATAACAGAGGCTGGCGCTGTATTGTGAAATAAGAAAGAACAGAAAGCATAAGCTATGAAAATCACAGAAAAACTGAAGTAGGCTAAATATCAATATGGATGAACAATAGCCCAAGCTGTTGAGAGTTCTAATATTTGGATACTCGACTAAGATCATGCGAACAGCAGTATCGGTTCGGTTTGTGCGATTTCACGTATGTGTGACTACCTAATTTCTACCCAAAATTCACGATATGGTTTTAATTCAGTCACATGTGGATATGGGGTCGGTCGTGAAACAACATTGAGAGTACTGCATGTGCTACTCTTGTTTGGTTTTGCTCTGTGCGACCCCTTTTCTTGAAACGCACCTATCGCATAAAGCAAGGGAAACCTCTTTTTTATTTCAAATCTGTGTCGAAGATAGATGAACAGGTAATTGAAGGAAATACGGTGTACACTGTCACATGGAGTGCCGCGTTATATTCGGTAAAGACATGAAGCAAACAGATTAGTGTGTTTGGCTACGTATGGTGTGAAAGAAGTTCAACATACATACAGAAGAATGGAAACATACAAGGTGTAAATGGGATGTCGAACATAAAGATTATCTCAATTTGGCGGTAACCGAGTAATGAGGAAGTGTTAGTGGTCTCAGGAGTACATATATCTAATAGGAACACTTTATAGAAGGCATAACACCTGAATTGGGCATACGGTCACTGGGGATGGCTTGCTGAAGGAAGCTGTACAAGGAAGTTGGGAAAAAGGCCAACAGGAAGGAAAGAGAAGACACAATCTACGTGGTGAAGGGGGCATTACGATAAAAAGAGGAAATCACAAAATCAGAGTGGAAGGAACTTGAACAAAAGAACAGGGCATTGGAGCAGAGAACTGAGTGGAACGTTTTGAACAATGCTCCTACTTGGCAGGAAGATTTCATTGTATGTATATATAAAATGGCAATTATTTATCTAGAAAAGACCCGATGAGCAAAATTTGCCAATTCCAATTTTAAGTGTTTGTAGTCAAATGGGAGGAAAGCAGAGGGTTTGACATTCAGCGATTCCACCAATAATACAAAGTTATATCTCGTACCAAGTGGCCAGCCGTCCAAGTACTGCACTCGCCAGACTTAATCCTATCTTTGCATTATAATTATTACGAAAAAGCCCCCATAAAAACCCCTCGGATATAAAACCACTGCAGTGACATTTTTGCTGAATGCAATAGTAACGACCATATACAGCGAAATCTTGGATTGCGAGTAACTTAGTCTGCGAGTGTTTTGCAAGACGAGCAAATTTTTTAAATAAATAATTTGATAAACGAGCGATGTCTTGCAATACGAGCAGTAAGTACAGTATACGCTTCGTCTGCCGAGCGTCACGTGATCACAACTGAGCCAATGGTTATTTTCTCTCTCTGGATGCGGGATTGTGGGTAATCATCTCCCATGCTCGGTCTCAGCCGGCGTGCCTCACTCGTATAGTCAACATCCGTGTGAGCGTTTACTGTTTACTATAGTACTGTATAGTGTTGTGACCACGTGTGTGTGTGCGTAAAGCATGTTTTTAACTTGTGTCCAAGTGTAGTGACTGTTCATTAGTTAGTGACAGTGAAAGTCGTCCTACACAATAACCCTCTTACTCCTATCCTCTCTCACATCAGCCACGATTAAATTTCATTAATACATTTGATTACTTTATATTAAATTTAAATAAAAAATATAAAAAGGTTCAGTATTTTGTATTATATTTTATATGAATATTTCTGGGCTGTGGAACAAATCATCTGAGTTTCAATTATTTCTTATGGGGAAATTCGCTTTGATATACGAGTGCTTTGGATTACGAGCACGTTTCCGGGGCGAATTATGCTCGCAATCCAAGGTTTCACTGTATATACATTTAAAAACGACGATTATTTTGTTTTATAAAGCTAGTATAGTCCGCTCAGGTTATATAACGCTTAACAGACGTCTTCTTCACCAAGTCGCACTGACCAGCGTGGTGAAGTATGGTCAAACAACCCCCCACTTATGATCTGACACGGCGTGGTCCATTTCACTCCAGCAGTGTTGGTGACCCAGGGCCTGCGAGCGAGTTGACGTGATTAGCATGGCACACACACACATATCTTATTACATACAATACTGGTGGTACACTATATATACACATGCATACATTGCACTGATTTGAAGCTTTCGTGACTGCAGGGATTCATATTCTTGGTTCTTTCGGTAAACACCCGAGGAAACTTTCCTTAGAGCCTAGTCTCATATGGGTTGGACCAGATGACGCCAAAAGGCGCACAACTCAAGGACAATGCACCATCAGAGTATGAGAGCTCGGGGCAAGCATCTACACTATGGGGACCTCATTTGCCAGTAAAAATATGCACATTATCAGAGTTATGTTCTTTTGTTTGTATTATGACTGCAGGTATTGCGGTCTATGCAAACATGACTCCTTGCAAAAAGGTGTCAGTTTTGTTGCCAGATAGAAGGGTAAAGAACCAATTATCATATTTTTACTGGCAAATGAGGTCCCCATAGTGTAGATGCTTGCCCCGAGCTCTCATACTCTGATGGTGCATTGTCCTTGAGTTGTGCGCCTTTTGGCGTCATCTGGTCCAACCCATATGAGACTAGGCTCTAAGGAAAGCTGTCTCGGGTGTGGACCAATCAACTTCAAGGACAGTGCACATTATCAGAGTTATGTTCTTTTGTTTGTATTATGACTGCAGGTATTGCGGTCTATGCAAACATGACTCCTTGCAAAAAGGTGTCAGTTTTGTTGCCAGATAAAAGGGTAAAGAACCAATTATCTTTCGGTAAAGTCACGTAGAAGGGTAATAATAAAATACAAATATAAAACAATAAAAATTCTCAAGACGTTTCGACTGCAACACAAGCAATCATCATCAGGTATGAAATCCACAGCAAAATTATTCTTTTTCATATACAAAACACAGAACATTTTTTCAAATTTCTTGCTGTGGATTTCACACCTGATGATGATTGCTTGTGTTGCAGTCGAAACGTCGTGATAATTTTTATTGTTTTATATTTGTATTATTTCCCTTCTACGTTACTTTACCGAAAGAACCAAGAATATATATAGATGTTGTAGAGTGCGATACAACAGGCTAAATATCTCTTCGTATGGCCTTGGATGGAGTGTTGGCCCAGGGTATTCTGTGAAATCGAGCACCTACAACGCCATGCACGCCACTGTATGGCAGAAATTACGTTCAGTCGTAACCACCGCACTTAATACATTTAAACACACACAGTTTGCAGACGGGCACCAATGAGAATAACAACTACTCCCAACACAAATCGTCAATAGCAAAGCCCTCACGTTACAACAATAATCCAAACGAAAGCGTCGTGCGAAACAAGTCACGATATGGCGGGATAAAGGGTGGTGGTGGTGGTCTCGGATTTGGCCTTCGAAAGATGCGGAGGTGAAATCAACTCGGGCGGGGGAAGAAGCGCGGTCTCGTCGTCGTTCTTTCGCCTGGGAATCGCTGCGGGATTTAACGAGACGACGTTTCGCAGCCTCTACCGTCTTGGCTCTGTGGAAGGCCGTGAGCCCGAAGCGTCACACGGCGGGGCAATCGAGAGATGGGGGGGGTGGTGGGGGTCATCGTCCGAAACGTCGCCTATCTCACATACACGCAGCCTTATCAACGAATGTAACATTTTTTGTAGGTTTAGTAATAAGATTTATATTTTAAAAACGCGTCCTGAGTTGAAAACCGTAGCACACACGCGCACGCGAGATTTAAATTCGCACCGCGGATGCGCACGGGGGGAGAGGTCCTCATTTAAAAACCGTAGTGCGGATAAGCGGCCGCGGCCGCCCGCCCGCAACAAGCACGAGGAGCCTCCCCCCCCCATCGAGAGCGACATTAAAAACAAAATCCGCCGTCGATCTAAAACAAAAAACCAAATCGTCAACGGCCACGTACATAGAGACACACACACAACGACAAGGGGGGAGGGATGGCGAAGCAAGTACATTAATTCGATGTTACGGGACGGGTCTCGACTTGCCGTTAAAAGGCCCCAATCGCGTTGGCGGCGCGGCTCAGTACGGCTCGCCACCACCTCCTCTCACGCCAAACACTCTCTCTCACACACACACACGACGACTACAACAACCACTACAACACTCTCACGCGCGCACACCCCCAAGTGGTGAGGCTTCAAACCTTCCTCGCGCCAGGCGGAAAAGAGAGACGGAGGAAGATGGGGAGGGCTTTTTTTCGTGTTTCAAACAAAAAAAAATCCTCTTCCCTCACCGCGCCGCCGACCCCCAAAGCAACGCGCGAACAAAACGCCTCCAGGGCGCTTTGGGAGAGGCGGGCGTGGAGGGCGACTCTTGCTGAGCGCTCCCCAGGGGCGTCTTTGCATCGCAAAACGAGAGCCCGATCGCGTGAATAAAACAACCACCAACACCATCCACCCCATCCACACACCACCATCTCACCCACCAACCAACACCATCCATCTACCCACACCACCATCTACCCACACCACCATCCACACACCCACCACCATCCACCCACCCACCCACCCACCACCATCCACCCACCCACCCACCAACACGACCATCCACCCACCCACCAACACCACCATCCCACCCACCCCAGACCACCATCTCACCCACCCACCAACACCACCATCTACCCACCCACACACCACCACCATCCACACACCACCCACCCACACACCACCCACCCCACACACCACCACCATCGTTGTCGTCGTGGTTTTGGGCAGCGGGGGGGCAAAGAGGCACCGAACTCCGAAGCCATTCGAGCCACGCCGGCGAGAGGAGAAGGAGGGCCTCCGTTTTGCCTCGCCGTGTTTGAAATTCCACGTGAAATAAGGTGAGCTGCATCTTCTTATTATTGTTCAGTGTTCTCCAGTTCTTCTTGTCAAGTGTTCTTCAGTTGATAATTGTTTTTGGAACCTCCTTTGCCAGTAGCAAAATATGATATTTGTTTTTTTACCCTTTTATCTGGCAACAAAAATGACACCTTTTTTACAAGGAGTCATGTTTGCATTGACCACAATACCTGCGGTCGGAGTGCAAACAAAAAACACAACTCTGATAATGTATGCACTGTCCTTGAAATTGATTGGTCCACACCCGAGACAGCTTTTCTGAGAGCCTAGTCTCACATGGTGTTGGACCAGATGACGCCAAAAGGCGCACAACTCAAAGACAATGCACCATCAGAGTATGAGAGCTCGGGATAAGCATTTACACCATTGGAACCTCCTTTGCCAGTAGCAAGATATGATAATTGTTTTTTTACCCTTTTATCTGGCAACAAAACTGACACCTTTTTTTTTACGAGGAATCATGTTTGCATTGACCACAATACCTGCGTCATCTGGTCCAACACCATGTGAGACGAGGATCTAAGAAAAGCTGTCTCAGGTGTGGACCAATCAATTTCAAGGACAGTGCATACATTATCAGAGTTGTGTTTTTTGTTTGCACTCCGACCGCAGGTATTGTGGTCAATGCAAACATGACTCCTTGTAAAAAAGGTGTCATTTTTGTTGACAGAATAAAAGGGTAAAAAAACAAATATCATATTTTGCTACTGGCTAAGGAGGTTCCAATGGTATTCTTCAGTTCTTCAATGTTCTACAATGTTTGTAGAATTCGACGTGAAATAAGATGAGCCGCTTTTTCTTCTCCGCCTCTAATTGTTCCACTTCGTTTGAAAGGGTGAGATCACACCAAGAGGGATATGGTGTTGGAAGTAATGGGTGATGTTGTCGTTGAGCACTTGGCAGCTGCTGTCTGCCGTGCTTCTGAGGAGTTTTGTTTGAAGTGATTTTGCAGTCAAATAGTTGTCAGCACCGTCATCACATTTGAGATCATCAGCAGCTTTATGGACAATCGGCTCATGGCATAGCTATCAGCACGTTCATCAGTCACTACTGTATTACGACCACCACCATCACCTCAGTTACCAAAGCATCATCATGGCCAGTACCAGCCCAATCAACATCATGTCACTGTAAACTTACCAACCTCATCATTATTGATGTCACATTATCAAACTCACCATCATTGCTACTGTAGTGTCGTGCCTCTCTCTTCTCTTGCTCGAGGCTTGTGTGTGTGGCGTGCGTCGCACACACACTCAGTCGGAGACGAGGTAGTCGCAAGAGGCACCGTCTCTCTTTTATTAGGTTCACGCCACCAACTCGGGCCCCCTCTCTCTCACGACCACGCTGCCACACGACCTGTTCCAGATACGACCCGTCCCAGACACGACTCTGTCCGCGTTGCACCGACGGCGTTGACAGGGACAGCCAACCGCTGTTCGGCCGCGTAACGATCGGGCAAAGGCGGCGGTGACGAGGGCGGCGATTGACGACGACGAGACGTACCGGCAGCCCGGAGCTCTCGCTCTCCGCTGCTTTTATTCACCTCCGCGCGGCTTGGCTCCGTCCTAGCCGCGCCTCTCTTCTCCAACCCACCAGAGGGTTCCAAGGGGCTTCCCCACGAGGTCTACCGTGACCCTTGCCCCAGTTCCTCCGCCCTGCCGGCACACACACTTCGTGTATGTGCTCAACGGCGTGTGCGCTAAGTGTCCACCTGCAGTTGCAGCTGCTGTACAACAGTCGGAGCTGTGTCACTACGATAAACGCACCATTATCACCAACAACAGCAACACCGTCTTCGCATGGCCATCAGTATTTTCACTGTCATGATCACCACTATCATGAAAATCATCGTTACCACCATAATCTGTATTATAACCTAGCATCACTGTCGCTACCATCAAGATGACCACAATCACCTGGTTATTACCACCACCACTACCATCGTCACTACTAGCAATTGATGTACTGGAGGAATCCGATTATCTTTCACAGATGTCTAGTAGAGGGCAAACCAGAACGTTACAACAAACAATACAAAAACACGATCAGAGTGCAAAGTATAGGAAAGGTAAACAAATCACTTGAAAAATGTATAGGAATAAAATTAAACTTTTATCTTTTTGGAAAGGTAAACTAATCACTTAAAATATATAGAAATAAAACAAAACTTTTTATCTTACCAGGTAAGGCCCACTGAGCCATTATTTTTCGTACCGTGTATTGTTCTGCATGATGTCTGACGTTTTCCTCTACGTGCTGGAAGCTTCATGAGGAAGTTGTAATTTTTAGCCGAGACGTCCAATCGAAGTTTAAGCAATCAAAAAGGTTGGGCGACCCCCGAGAGGCTTGACATTCGTTTCATCCACAGGGAAGGATTGAGCCGCGAGGATGGACAGCGAGCTGGCTCGGGACGGGCGCCTGCTGGAGCTAGTGGACGAGGACTGGAGAGAGGACCTCCTTCCGCAAGAGGACGTGGATGTGCCCCTGGTGACCTGCGTCCACCCCGCACCCACATCCCCTTCCCCCAGCTGCACAGTTCCCGATCGTACCTCCTGGCTCTGACATTCTGCCTCGAAGATACTGGTCGTGGAACCATCAGAATCATCAGAATGTTTATACTGGAGGAATCCGATGAGCAATGAAGCTCTTTTTGCACAGATGTCCATCACCCCTCATCAGGACATCATCAACAGACCGATGCACAAATCTCCTTCATAAATGGAGAATTTCAGACAAGCCGCCAATAGTGTCATTGTGGCCATGCAACACAAACTATGGATCAAATAGTAAACCACTTTCATCCGTGCTCCTTCAGTGAACTCTGTCCTGAAGCCTTTACATGGCTAGAAGACCTCGACATTGGCATATAGTTCCTGAACATATTACCGTACGCAAGATTAAAATAGTTCCCAATCGTTCATCACACTGATGTAGCATTGCATGGTTAGCATGAGCCCTTGGTGCAAGGAATCAAATAATGCAACCCCCACAACAACATCCACTCCTGTAAGTGGTCTTTTATTTAAAATGTATTTATTATAATATCCCACCAGGAAAAATTCCTTGATGGAACATCTCGTTTTTAATAGTGTCACCTGACATACATCGCAAACCCGCAATAGCTACGCCACCGTCACGGTGCCTTTGTTCCCTGTCGTGGTCGGTGTCACTAATTTACATCAGGAGGGGGGACTAGTGTGAAACAAAGGGCTATAGCCGTGGGGACAGGACATTAGGCAGCGAAGGTTAACACTTGCCGAGCACGCTGGTTCGATGTTTTTGCCTCGGATCCACCTCAGCAATAGGCTCTGTCTGATTATGTGAGTAAATACATTAATGATACATACGTTGTTACCAATAGAAATATACTTTTGTATGGCAAGGTAAAATTTGTCACGTGTGTATGGACGTTAAGCCATTAAATTACCTCTTTGGAGGCTTGGTGGACATTAGTGATATTTCCCGCTAATTGGCGATGTGGGCATTGTTAGATTATGGGATCGACTCACTATTATATTATAATTAAGCAAGGCATGTTTTTGGACCCCCTCTGCCCACAAGGGATTTTAGTGAGGGGCTAATGTGTTTTGTTCACCCCACCTGTTGTACCATTTGGTGGGAAGGTAGTCCAGTTTCTGTCCCCGTGGTGCTGCCTGTGTCCTGCATAATCTTGCAAAGCTGGATAGGGCTTTAACGGACACAGCTACACCTCAGGGGAGGAACAATACTTGCTTCCTGTCACAAGTACCGTACCGTTACCAGTAGACTGTATGATGCAGGGCTTGTCGTGTTATCAGATGCAAATTTGACCTTGTTGATCTCTCGGGCAAAGAGCATTTTCGAGTCACAACCATACAGATTTTTGAAGCTTCAGAAAGTTGCAGTTTTTTAAAATATATATAATGGTTGATAAGCACAGGTTCAAAGGTGCAAAACACCAAGGGATCGGCAACAAACAGCATTATTCAAGTTTGTAAAAGATAAGAGTCAATACGTATCTCTATCAATGCAGTCAAGAGGATGTTAAAGACCTATGCAATTTTCAGCAGTAGACTATTGTCTACAAGCATATTAATTCATTCCCATTTTGGTATGTTTTTTCACAACTAAACTGAATAATTAGTGAGTCTATAAAACTGGAATATCTCTCTTTCAAAACGAGATACGTTAATGTCTCCCTTGCAAGAGATTCATATTCCTTGATGAACTTCTGTCTGGTTTAAAAACCTACTGATTTCCATCTAAATGTAATATTCCCATCTCAATGGAATCTCGGATAAATGAATTATTTCAAATAACAGAAGGAAGTTAATTTATCTTGCCAACGGTTTACACTCATTTATAAGTGGAGGTGTAACGAATGGACTTATAACCTACGCTGTACTGCGCGTGTGTGTGTTTGTGAAATGTTCTGCCTATGCAGATGGAGTTGCCGGAGCCTGACCAAGACAACGGTCACGTGACAGAGTCCGTGCGGGAGCAGGAGATGAAGTGGACCGACCTGGCCCTGCAGAACCTGCACGAGAGCATGCCCCAGTCTGCGGCCAACTGACCAAGTCGGGGCTCCGTAAAAGATCTCCAAACTCAAAAGCAGTTGCTCGGATCGGTGACGGTGGCCATGTTTTCTAGAGCAGTGTTTCTCAACTCCAGTGGTTCACAAGTCCCTTCTGCGATACCACCTTTTTGTGATTGCAATCATTGCTGTTCGTATGCATTTAAGCCACTGCAGGCTGCCAACATCTGATTGTTTTAATAAAAAAAAAATGTACCATTGGGGGGTCGGTGAGGACTGCAGTTGAGAATCGCTGAACCAGAGTGAGTAGATAACGATTCAGACTGCCCTCCCCCCAAGATTGAACGAGTGGCCACAATTCGAATGAGGAGTAGATATTTAGATTTGCTTGATTTTTTTTTCTCTCATCCGTAGTATCATTCGTTACATTAGCCTGAAGCTGAAATGTGCACATACATCTTTATAATGTGTGTAAATTGTAAAATAATAGATTCTCACGTGCATGGTTAACTGCACTGCATTTTTCATGAGCATAAGCATTTATGTTAATAGATCAATAGTTACATCATAACTCGGTACATGGAATGGGGACCTTTCGGCTTTGCACCAACTGCATCAATAGCAATACCTTTGTTTTATTGTGTAACTGGATGGGTTTTTTATATTCTTAGGTTTTTTCGGTAAAGTCACGTAGGTAAAACCTTAAAATTAATAAAATAAAAGTAAAATGAATAAAAAATCACGACGTTTCGGAGGCAACACAAGCTTCTGTCTTCAGGTGGAACCGTCACAGCCACGACAGCTGTATCAAGTAAATGAGAGATTGCAAGAGCTACCACTCCGTACATATAATGGTTGGAGAGGGGGGAAGGGCCAAGTACGGCACACTTTTTATTCATATGGTAAGGTGAGGCTTAAGAGGGTGAGCCTTTGTTATGGAGAGGTACGGTTTGTGACTAAGCCTGGCCTACATAACAATGTGTCGTGATTTTTATTTTATTTTACTATTATTTTATTAATTTTAATGTTTTACCTACGTGACTTTACCGAAAAAACCTAAGAATATGAATCCTTGCAGTCACGAAAGCTTCAAATCTAGAATTAATGGATGGATTTTGTTCATGTCAGATTATTTTTTACCTGTAATGCAGAATAAATGTAAACAGGGGAATGCAGCTGCCAGCAGAGCACTGATAAGTACTTCCAGAGTAATTTTCTGCAGACACATTTGTTGAACCAATGTTTCTCGGTCGCCCAGTGTTATGGGCCAGGTCCACCTTCCACAATGCAAGGGCCTAAAAAGTGGATTTGGGTTTGAAGCTATCGAGGTTTAATATTTGGTTAAATTAGGAATAAAAAATGGGTCAGATTTGGCTGACAACCGTCGACACGATTTCATTGTTTACAATTCAACAAAAGCGACAAGGCATTGTAATGAAAACGGATAAAAGTGTCGAAACAGTATTTAACATTTTATTAAGAATACAAATGTTGTAGTTAGGTGCATGTCAATAACACGTAATGAAATAGCGTACAGTGGCACATTAACTGCAGCAGATATGTAAAGAGTACTTTAAATGTACAACTTATGGCTCTAAGATGGTCTGCTTCATGCACTAAATATAAAATGTGTCAAGGACAATGTTACCTTGGTAAATGAGCATACCAATGGAATTCAGGTAACAGAGATAGTATTATTATCTTATGTCCCATTGTAACATAAGTGTCCATAAGCTGAATACCTTCTTGTGTTTATGTTTTTATACTTACATTTGCTTGCTGCTTATTCAAACGTGTTATTTACAATAAACATAACGTAAATAGCCTACGGTATGTGTGTGTTTACAATCTGCACAAGTACTTTGATTCTAACAACCTTATGTGAACCTTATGGCGGGACCCCGGGAAGTAAAAATCGTAATTGATTTATTTTTGGTGACTGTCCCAACGCGCACATTAACGCAGCGACCCACCTGGCGCGGATCATTCTGGTGTCGTGTCCAAGCGCAACGAAGACGAATGTGCAGAAGAGCTGAACAAGCAAATGCAACTTCATGCTCGGGTATGGGCAGGATCATAAGTCTTATCCAAAGCTGCTCAAACTGCCTACACGACTTAAGTCCTTTATTTGTCATCACGGGATGCATAATAATACAGTGAAACTGCTCTTAATTATTATTTGTGACCTACCAATGTCTGCAGCCAGGATCGATCGATGACAATTCTATTACCTGCAGATATTTAACAGATGAAATGTTTTGCACCGTTAATTCCTCCAGTTTGATAATACTTCTCTTGTCCGTATGCATCTGTGCAGATAGGTTTTTTTTTTTGCGGTTAAGCCATAGTCCCCACATACCGCTCGTATCGATGCGTATCAGAGGAGTGGCAAACCACTACTCTGTAGAGTAACATTTGTATAAACGCTTGTTACAATATCAACAGAAAACGCGTACTATTTTATGCACTGTTTAGAAAATGTGTTCACAAATCCACACTGAGAAACACGATGATTGACAGAGGGTGTAAATTATTTTTTCGATAGTGTATTTCAATAGAGGTACTCCAGGTAAGTAGTATTCAGTTTTAAAGGCATAGATTAACAAAACAACACCTGCCACCATTCTTCAAACCCATTGTTGAAAAAGAAAAGTGTTTGTTTACATTATAATATAATGTTTATGCGAGAGCTGGGGGCTTATGGGATTTTGGGGTTCCGCCATAAGGTCCATGTGTGTATTTTTTTGCGATTATGTTCAACAACCTCACTTTTAATTGCTCATATAGAATGTAAACAACACACCCAAAAATTATTAGGTGTGTTTACGTGTTTACAGTCTGCGCAAAACAACTATTTAAACTTCCCCTGCCCCCACATACTAAAATCCAACCGGTACTGCCCTCGTCCAGGAGTGGATTGATCAAGTACATAGGCGACAATAATTATGGTCATCTGCAGACACATCTGGGGACAGTTGCTGTATACACAGAGCCACACTTCCCAGATGCTCTTCTTCTCAGATTCCCCACTTTCCAAGCGTCCTGCCTCATTCTCCCGTGCTCAGGTGCGGCAGCAAAATCCACATTTCTTGCAGAACGAGCAGCAGAAGCAGCAGAGCGAGAGCGGGGTGTGTCTGCGTGTGCGATTCCTTGCCCAGCCCTGCTTTCAAACGCAAACACATACAAAGGCAAATATCTCCCATGTAGCTTACACACAATGTTGGGGCAAGTACTTTTGGCAAGCGTCTGTGAATGCTCGCAGGGAGCATGGGAGGCTGGTGTGGCTCGAACCTAGCTTTCATTCACACATTTGCATGGATAAAACGATTTAAGTGTATTGGCGTTCCTGTCCAATATCGATAATAATGACGCATTTATGGAGAGTTACAATAGTCGAGTAGGGATGCGATGAAGGCTTTGGCAGACAGGGTAAGAAAGTGGCGGATGAGAGAAGTGGTGAGATTTCTGGGAAGAGAATGGGAGCTCGGGATTAATGACAACTCGCAAGGTTTTCCTGTGGCAGTGTGATGTCAGTCCATGAATGAATTATTAAGACCGTTCAGGTGAAGAAGTTACCAATGGCTGCGCGGTGTTCACATCCATGGCCGGTAGCACCACCTCTCCAACGGTTGTAATTTTTGCTGCAATCTTCGCCTAATTTGCAAACAGAAAGTGGCACGTTTGTGTTAATGACCGCACAGCACCAGATACTCACGTTATCCTGAGTGGACTTAGGGGGTGGAGGTAAAAAAAACTAGGTTCAGATCCACAGGGCAACTGGTGTTGTGCATCACCTTCAAGACTCAAACCGCCGTATACACTATTAGGTGGCATTTTTCATCAGTTGAGCTCCTATTGAGACACCAAAATATTGGTACCGGGGAGGTGGTGGGTAAAATAAAAATATGTACAAGTTAAAATAGTCGAGTGTTCGAAAAAACGAGTTAAAATTTACAATGTAGTGAGTGACCTACAATTTCAATGATGCCCTTCACCCAGCAAAAGTCTCTCCTTTTCCATACAGGCACTGGAGGTTGGCCAATTCCATTAATGAGTACAGCATTTGGCATTATATTTTTTTTTAATCTAGAGTACAGTGTGTGCCTATATTTATTTTAATATGAAGCAAGAGCAGATGAAGAATTGGTTAAGTGTTACTTAATCGGGGTTTAAAGGAGCGAGGCAATACATACCTGGTCGGTCATCCGCAAGAGCGATGAGACGCAGAGGATGAGTAGAAGTCCACACAGTGCCTGGCGAGCCATTCTTCTGCCGCTGTCAAAAAATAATGAAGAAGCCCTCCTGAATGTCTATGTATGTAATGTTGAACTTCGTTAGCACCGTACGTAGCCAACCGTGCTAATTAGAGGTGCGAGGGAAGAACAACAAACTAAACCCTAAAACAAAGTAATTATAAAGAAATACGTTTTCAATCTGTGATTTAAAAGTGCACAGCTGCCAGTGGCTTCCTCGTGTCCTGTGTCGTGGTCCCTTGCAAGTCCACACGCTCCATTTATCCTGTCTCCCCAACACACGTGGGTGGCGGTACCCCCATCCCCTTACCCAATCAGAGTTTACACACAACATTAGATTGCACGTGAAAAAGAGCGCCTGTTCCTGAGGTCAATGTGAATGATTACACAACCTTTCATCGGTTTCGTTTATCTTCCCGGAAAGGAATATACCGTAAAACCCAACGATCATGAGTCATTATTTGGATTTATTGACAGCGCATTGGCGTCCGTCTGGGGCTGGATAACAGGCAACTCAAATGAACTCTTTATCTTGTGAATTCTTACCTAAGCTGTGTCCCAGGCTATCTGATGTGCGTTAGGCCTCCACGCGTGTACCTATTTTCCCAATATATTACAATTGTCATATCAATAATGTCATGAGAAATATAACCCCTGAGGAAATCTGTGCAGAGTACCCCACTTGTCAGAGAATGGCTGTGAAATAGATTTATTTTATAGGACTTATCCCAATTAAAAACATCCTCTAAGTGACTTATTTATTCTTTACCCAGGAGGGGTCAAGTGAGGGCTTCACGATTTTGGCAAATTGCCCGATGATGCTGGATGTAATTACCAGCGAAACATCGTACTCAAATATTTTTTTGTAAATGTCGTGGATTTACTCTTCAATACACTGGTGGACTAAAGTAGTGAACTATTTGTCTTTTGTCAACGTGACACTTTTTTACTGATTGGCCGTGTCGGGTGGTGGAGGATTATGACACATTTACAAATAACGCGATCTAGCCCAAAAACTAATAAAAAATAAAATAAAAATAAAATATTTTATTCTTATTTTATTTTTATTAATTTTAATTTTACCGAAAGAACTAAGAGTATGAATCCTTGCAATCACGAAAGCTTCAAATCTAGAATTAGCCCAAAACGTTTATTATTAATAACATTGGTCGCGAAAGCCTACGTGTCAAACTGGGGTCATACTTTGCTGTACACTCTATTACGAGACTGCTGCATGACAGTCAAAGCAATATTTGTTTCAGAACTAAAACTTGGCCAAAGTGTGGTTCCAAATGTAATGTTTTTTGTGCAGTCATAGGAGACTTCACAGGAGTGATGTCACCAGACGATTATAAAAGTCCTTATAATTCACGTGGCGTTTGAAAACAGCAACAAGCTACATAAGTATTGCTATTGTTAGCTATACCACGGGATCCGGGGTGGTAGCTGAGTGGAATCCGCTTGTTCCACTCAAGTACACATGTTGTATTGGATAGTCATCAGTGATATTCGTCCGATGGTTTGCACCTCACCGCATTCCCAGCTTGGCAAGTCGTTAAACTTTCGCTCATAGACACAGTTGACTGTGGCATATTTCATCACCGCTGAAGTTGCAAACTCATTACCAACAGTTGAGCAAAATGTATCTGGAAAAGCCTGCTTTCTGTGGGTGCTGGAGACAGAAGCCTCGATTATACTGGTAGGAACCACCTGGTTCCACCAGCCCACAGGGGATTATTGTGTCCGTCCGTCGTGCATCCAAAAATGGGAGGGGTGGGGCTGGGTTAGCGAGGGACTGGGTGGAAAGGGGCTGGGTGGGGCTGGGTGGGGGGTGGGGCTGGGTGGGGAGGGGCTGGTCACCCCGTGGTGCCCTTATAAAACTCAACGTTTAACCTACTCACGCCGGCTTGTGCCCGCCCTCAGTCGCCCATATTTGCGGAAAACACCACGCCGCCGTTGACCCTGGCCATTGACCGAGCAACCCAACGTTCCTACCAGCTCCCTCCGTAGGAATGTGTTAGTTGCCACCTGTAAGCGTTTGACCTGCACAGTCCAGGAACTGGTATATAGTGTATTGGTTTAGCCATGTTTATTTGTTGTAGTACAGAGTTAGACTGATGGCCTTAATCTAAGTTGTCTTATGGTTGTTGTTGTTGTTGTTTGACTTGCATCCCACTGGGATTTTTGCACACAGCATTGGTGTACGGTGTTTTTTTCTGCAATATTTTGCTGTCTTTTCTTGGATTTTCTGTTTGCACTTAGTCACATATTCACTTTAAGATGTTTTTTGTTCATGTTTTTGTTTTTTTGTTTGTTGCGGTTGCACCCGATTCAAAAGCCGAATGGCTCACAGGGCTATACCTAATAAATTAACTTGAACTTGATGTGTTTGGATGGCAGAAATTGCTTTGTTTTAAGACCTGGTAGTATTGTGGCAAACCGAATGACAGTACACCGCAGTTTTGACAGACCTGGGCTGAATGATACACGTCTGGTTTTGGCTAGTGGAAAAGGTGGCAAACCTAGCACTGATAGATGTGGCTCACGATGATCAGTTCTATACAAGTGTAGCGCTTCAAATAAAGACACACACTACTTGAGTTGAGGCGATTCGTGTATTAACAATTCCCTTACGGGACGGCTTCTATAATTGGTGTAGACGTATTTATCGCTGTGTAACCCTCTACACGCGAGGCTATTGAAGATTTCAACCCGACGTGACCCGACCTACCAAGCGTTACCCAGAAATACGACCCTTTACTGTCCCCACGCTGCCCTTTTAGGTCCCTAGCGAGGCCTTCCCCCCGTCCTGTCTGTACCCCACTCCTGGCACCTCCCAGCAAGCTCGCTCCCTTGATTCCCCGAATGACGGGATATACCGGCATTACACAAGGGTTTAGAATGGCCAACGGTGGATTGACTCAAAAGCCAATAGTTGCAGATACTAGATGATTAGGACGCAATGATGTTCAGAGCCCACAATGGCGTAAGACAATGATTGGGCAAGAGTAGCCCCTTGTTGACATGACACGTCTCTTATGGGAAAATGGTTTCCGAGAAAAGATTCAGATTTTTGGAAATGGTGTTGACCTCCTGCACAAGCATTCATATCACTCGGAATGCAATCACCCATGATCTGCTTCCGCCCACGTAAAGCATATTTACAAAGTAACACTGATAGAAAGTCACGTTACATAAAATGTCAACACCAAGAAGTCATAAATGTAATCCAGTACTGCTGAACGCTTTTATTCAACCACGTGGCGAGTCTCGCGATCGTGTTCGGAAGGCAGACTTTGACAAACAAATGTTTTGAAATGGGGATTTTTACAGCACAACAATTTATTTTTTCATTTTGAGATTTGGGCTAAAGCAGGGCGAGCATGGCCTGCCCTTGTGGATTGTGTCGGTGCCTCTTAAATTAACTCACATGGGGGGTGTGAGCTACAGAAATCAATTTAGACACAAGAACATGTTCAAAAAGTATTATATATTTTTTATTTTATTAAAGCAATGCTAATTGAACATGGAATAAGTGTAATTTGTTTTAGCAAACGCAGGGCATGCAAGCATACATCCTTCAGAAGGAAAAAAGGCATTTGTCAATCCTTTGTACACAACCACGCTCAGTTAATACAAAGTGCGAAATGCACATGTGTTATGTATGTCGAACTTATTTCGCACCGTACGTAGCCAACTGGGCTAATCTCGTAAATAAACCTGAAGTAAGACGAGACTACATATTATATTCAACGGAGAAAATGAAATTAATGTACGAGTGTGAAAGGTCATTAATAATTCCAAGCGTGACTGGAAACTACTTTTACAATATAAAAGAAAAAATAAACACATCTTAAACAGATATGGACTTAAAATATTCCACAATAAAGCAAAAAATACAGGCTACTTTAAAAAATTTCATTATATAATTACCAGCCTCCACCCATCACCGTCAGTGCACAGGATTGCCCCAACAAATGCTTGCGTCTCTGAACCACCACCATCCGCTGAACCCTTCACATCTTTAAATGAAATCTTTGAAAATAAAAGAACTCATAAAAACGTTTTAAGGATATCCACGTTAAATTGCGTCGCAGCATGGCAGAATACGACGATGCAGAGGAAGAATGGTGTTGGGACGTTCTGGACATTCGTCGTCCAACAGCAAGGCCCAAAGAGCCCTCGCCTGAGTTAGAGGACAAGTGGCGCAAGAAAGAAAGTCTTCCCCTTGAGCTGTCGAACAATTCAGGGGGCAGCTTGCGCTTTCTCCTATGCTGCTTCCGCAGGGCAGGCCCACGGGATGCGACTGGATGGACCGCAGGCTGGGCTGGCTGTGGGCATCACTGCCCTGGCACAGAGCCCACCACCTCGATGCCGTGCTGCTGCAGCTGAGTTCGTAGCAAGGCGCTCTCATTCTTCAGCTCCTCGAACTGAACACACGCAACAATCAGGGCGTCATTCGTCTGTGCGATACGCCATTGGGGATTCCTCATCCCTCTTGTGAAGAAGACGGACACCAAGCAAGTAGTATTCACTTGCTCGCGATCGAGAAGTGGTGTGAGAAATGTGCTGTGATTGGATCATTTAAAACGGAGTTATAGATAATAAATGCAAACAAAATTGACGATCTTTATGATAAATTATAATTACACATTAATAAATCATGACAATGACCTATCACAATCAGAGTGGGCCATCATAAAAATTAGATTAACAGAACACCAAAAATCCTCCCTTTCAGCAAGGTCAGATTTCTTTGTGCAAGTGCTCTCTGCACACCTCGAATGAGGCTGGTGCCACGCATAAGGCTATGGGTGGGACGAGCAACACAGCATACACCCCTCCACCTTTGCCTCTCTCGTGCTGATGCTCAAATGTGCACGAAGACAAAAAAAGACAAAGATTCCCCTGTAAAGCCTTAACAGACTGTTGGGGCAAGTGCTGTTAACGAGCACCTATGAAAGCCAGCATGGCACACAAGGTGGGGTGGGTGGCCAGCACCGCACCCGGCCGCCTTTGTCTCCCTAGTGGCGATGTTTACACTCCGCATGAGGTACTCATTTAAGAATGAGTCGACCTAGGGAAGGCACAGGACCAGTTCAAATAATCGTCACTGGTGTTGGCCGCAAGCGGGAGTCGAATTCGGGTCGCCAGGTTCGTAGCACAGCGCACTAACCGCTACACTACCACTCCCCACATACGCACGCACACAGACACACCCCCATGCATGCAGCAGCTCTATGCGCAAACTTCTGCCCAACCTGTTGCATCAGCAGCTCGTGCTCCAACTGAGTCCTCTCAGCCTCCTTGAGCTCCTCCTCCATGCGCTGGTTCGTCTGCCGCAGCTCTTGTATGTACTCGCACGCCTTTGACAGGACTCCACCCTTGCTCTGTGGGTTTGCACGTAGCGTAGCCGGATATCAGTCACGGCGATCGGCTCTCCAATTCGCACTTGCCTGAGCATTCATTACGTTTGCTGGGGTAAAAAGTCCCACCAATCGCACAATTTTACAGGCACGTTGCAAAACCTCCCATTATGCTACTGGTATTGTGAGCGCGCCGCTGTTTGTAATGGAAGGATAAAATGGGAATGAAAGACGGTGCGGGTTTGGAAATTCACCTGTACGGACTTCGTGTGGTCATTGGCGCAATCAGGGATGTACTTGGAAAGTTCTACGATCCAGTTATTAATTTTGTCTCTTCTTCGCCTCTCCACTGTAAAAAGACAAACAAATGAAATATTGGACGTTCGCAGAATGTAAGTGATGTGAATATTCTCAACTCCAGTTGCCGAGTTGGTCAGAAAACTCAGATTGCCTGCATAGAAACAGGGAGCCATGACCATTGAGAAAATGGGTTCGATTTCCCACACCCGATGCAAATCCTACATTCTAAAACAGTCTGATGCTCTTAGCCCAACAGCCATTTATTGAACAAAAACATTTGTAAGTACAGGTTTTTACTTGAGCCCATATCAGAGCTTGCAAGGCAGACAGAATCAGAATAAATCACTTTCTCATCTGCACACATGATGATTGCAATCTTGAAGACTATTAGTCATACACCAACACTGTGGAATACAAGCTGTGCTCTACAAAGGTGAACATCGATTGTAGGATACAAACATTACTTATCAATGCTTTAACCAATGCACAATTATAAATATCATTCTTAAATTGCGCAAAAATGGGGTTGGCATAGTAACACAGCGGTCAGCGCACTGCACTATGAACAAAGCGACCAGAGTTTAATTCCCGGCTTATGGCTAACATCAACAGCTGAATGTATCCCGTGTTTGCGAACCCACATGGACCAATCTTGATTTGAGGCTTTCGTGACTGCAGGAATCCATACTCTTTGGTTCTTTCGGTAAAGTCACGTAGATAGGAAATAAAATAAATCACAACGTTTCGGGCGCAACACAAGCGTCCGTCATCAGGTGGGAAAGCATGGTCTGCTGCTGAGGCAGACTGTTTTAAAAGGTTTGAAATGGGTGTAGCCCAAGGGTCATGAAGAAGTGGCCGGGGCTAGTGATGTTAATGTGAGAAATTAGCATGTAAGATCTTACAGCTACATGCTAATTTCTCACATTAACATCACTAGCCCCGGCCACTTCTTTATGTTAATGTGAGAAATTAGCATGTAAGATCTTACAGATTACATGCTAATTTCTCACATTAACATCACTAGCCCCGGCCACGTCTTTATAACCCTTGAGCAACACCCATTTCAAACCTTTTAAAACAGTCTGCCTCAGCAGCAAACTATGCTTTCGCACATGTACCAGTATGGTGATGTATGGTCAAACAACCCCAAAGACTGACACGGTGTGTGGGGAGTCCTTCGTTCAGTAGTGGATCACCAGAAAGCAGTAAAGAACTATATGTTCTTTAAATATATAACTGGATCAGGGACAAGCAGCCTGGTTTTATGGTGAATCATCTGGTTTCTGACTGCTATGGTCGCTGGCCGATTGGTTGGGTGAATGAGTGGGTGGTGGAGGAAAAGGAAGGCTGTTGTGATGCCTGGTTGCAGCGAGGTGGGACGGGGGGCACCTTCGTTGTGTTGCGCTCGCCGCCGCTCATCCCTGGGTGTGCGTGGCCCCTCGAGCTTCCTGAAAGTGAAGCAATCCACAATCAGTAAAGTCCATCAATAGGCGAATATAAAGCAGGGCTCCGCTCGCAGCGACGGCACTTATATGTACACATCATGATGGTGCATCCCCTAAATACTGGACTAAACCAGGAGTAGGATGCCCCCGGTATATCTGGGACGCAGTGGTGGCGAGATGTTAACTTCCTTGCCTGGTATGTAGGAGGTTGTGGGTTCGATCCCGAGCCTGACGCCTGTAAATTTATAGTTTGTATGTCTCTCTCCCAGTGGTGGCGTGGATTTTTGTCCAGGTCCTCCGGGTTTTCCCTCCACATTTAGAAATATGCGTTTAGAGTATTTGGCTGCTATAAATTTCCATGTAATGAGCCACTTCATTGGGCTATGATTTGTGGCCAGGTTGCTGCTAAAAAAGAGCTATGTAGCTCAGTGGGCCTTTTCCTGGTAAAATAAATATCGTAGTACAATTTTTTGCCTGTTTTCATAATAAAGCTCCATTATTTTCATAAAGAAAATTACCCATTTATATAGTTTTTTTATGTTTTAAAAATATAAATCTATGTAAAAAGTAAAAAAATATATTCTGCAATGCACAAGTCAATGCTACAGGAGTTATTGTGCAGCAGAAAACTGGGACTGCCCAACGCGTGATGTTTCTGTGCGGCGTGGAGATCAGATAACAAGTCAGCATTGCTTTGCACGCAAATACATTTTTGTAGCTTCAGGAGTGTCATTTTCTATTTGAGGGATTCTCTAAAAAAAACTGTAATAATGCACAAGAAGATACATGTCTAGAGAACATGTACGTAAAAGCCACAAGTGTGGGGTGCCTGATGTGCGCATATGTGAGAAGTGAGACTCGTACGGGGTGTATGGGTGAGTACGGGGAGCGATGGGTCTTTGAGCCCCTCCCTGCAGAACATCCTGCGGTGCCATCATCACGTAGAATTGGCCTTAAACAGAAACAAGGTTTGTTAAACAAAGCATAAACAGCCTTCATGGCACTCTTCTCAAATCATCCAACATCCAATAAAATGATCGATCCATTGCTGGTTGAAGGCCTCCCCACGGCGTCGCAATTCCTCGCGGTCCTGTGATGACCAAAATCCATCTCGCTCCTGCACATGAGCTGATCTCATCGATGCCTCTCCACGGTGGTTCTCCTCTAAGGCCTACACTCTCTTTTGGCTTGCACTCTATAACCAATCTCGTCCATCGGCCATCATCCTACCCGAAGTGATGTAAACTGCCCAAGTCAACTTACTTTTCAATGTCCACTTCCCATTTTGTTCTCTTATCCGTGTGTTCCTCATTCTGTCAGCTAACATAAGTGACGAGAGAGTCATCTGAAATGATGGTCTTGGCCCTCAATTCATCAAACCCACACTGACCAGCTTGGTTAAGCATTTTAAAAAACCCCTGTGACAGATGCCACATGAAGAGGCCTTCATCAGACAGTGACCTGATACAGGACTGCACTCTTAATGCACTTCCTAAACAAGGGCACAATGTTAACATGACCATGTTGATACGGGGAAGCGTGACCAAGTAACGTCTCACGACAATGGAAAAGCCAAGTGTACGATACCATCGGAGGCTGGGCTGCCGGCTCCACCGAAGGGACTCTGGATCACGGCCTGCAACGAGACAGGGCACAACTGTTATGACAACGCCTCGCACGAAGGGGCAGGTAGCTTTCAATGGATCCACACGAATACACACGCGCCCACATGTTACGTACGCACACAAAAAAATTTACCAATGCTGGTATCTAAATGCGACCGCATTCCAAGACTACTTACACACACATGCGAACGCGTGTAAATTTACCTGCACAGGATTTCAACCCATGCAGTGTACAAAGCCACACATCTATTACACGTGCACACACACCCACAACTGTGCTACATCCATTACAACACACACACACAGACTTTGGTTTTATAAGTAGATATAAACGGATTACATATTAAATTACAGCTGGAGTTCCACTATAAGGTTGACTGAAGAAAGATACTCCTTTTGTAAATTGCGGTTAATAATAACCTAATTACTTTTAATGTAGTTTCATTTATGCCATTATTGCTTCATACTATTTTTGCTTTCTTAATATCCGTTATGCTTATATTGAACTGTTATCATAACAATTACCTATCTTGTCCCTATGTACAACAAAGTAACCATTAAAATGCATCACTTTGCGACATCCGTAGAATCACTAATCCCTGATAAGCCAGTCCTCAACAGGTGAATCGACACGCCCCTTGTAATCCCTTTGCAAATGTTAAAATTGCTCAAGTGTATACACACACACACACATGGAAATGCTTCCGAACAAAGCGGCCCCTATAATCAACGGCATGAGATTCACTCCACCATGTGTGTGCGTGTCTCAGCTCTGCCCTGCAAGAGCCAACTTACCGTCGTCTGGCCCTCCCCTTGGCTGTCTACCTGTACCACCCGGTACGTCACCTGCGAACATCAAAGCGGAAAAGCGCCAACGCAAATTGTTACGTGTGATACGGCGAACGGCAGCAAACTACTTGGGTTTAAAAATGCTTTCACGTTTCATTTGATACTTCATAACGCTTGGTTCGTCTTTCACACTTCTGGTTGCTTAGTGTTTTAAGTAAGAAATGTTAATTATTGACTGCAACATCATTGACCAATGTGATTGGCTATCATTTTCAAAGTTTTGAAAAATGAATTGGCTTTATATTAACAGGTTGTGCAAAAGCGGTTCAACAAAATTGGTTTACTCTCCTTCATGTAAAACATGACTATTGTATATTTCTGGAAACAAGACCAAAACTACTATTAACACGAAACATTCAAATTCACCACCACCACTACCACGGGTATAAAGTGAAGTAAAAAATTAGCGTCAGATGACATTTTTACGTTGTATGACTCAAAACTCCAGGCGCTCATAGGTGACTGCATTGCTGTTAAGTTCCGAGCAGCAGAGAGCACTGCAGCAACATCCATTGTGATATTGTCCATCGAAACTCTCAGTCTTTGCTGCTCACCTTCACTAATCCGCACTGATTAGCTTGGTGAAGTACGGTCAAATTAACTCCCATGCCCCGTAAGCGGTGGGGAGGCCCTCATCCAGCAGTGGATGGATCAAAGGGCTGCACCTGTACACAACTAAAGACGCAGAGTGCACGCGTGGATGTCGCCCGACGGGCTGTCCGCTCCTCACCTGGCCATCGCTGCTCTCAGTGCGGAACTGGTACTGTATACTGGGGTCGTTGAACGCAGTGGCCTGCTGCACACTCGCGATCGCCACAGCCGTATGATCGTCGGCGCCCGATCCGTCTCCTGCGCTCGTTCACGCACACGCCCATCAGATGATGCACCACCAATAACAACAACAACCGGCGCCATTCGCCACTAAGTGGCGGTGACGTCACAACGCCGCTTTTGCCTGGGTATGTGCCCTTTAAGGCCATGTGAAGTGTCGCCCACTGGCAGGTCACGAGACAGACCCAGGTGCCATGGGTTGGCTGAGATGACTGGCTGAGATGACTGGCCGATGCACCACCTATGCCCCTACTGTGCCAGGTAATGATGGATCACCACCTCTTGCCACCAACAGAACGAGTAGTGTCGTTGCATGTGCTCACTCCCCCTGAACATTTAGGGACTACAGCAGTCTCGTGGGAATTACAAACCCCCAACCCTCCCTCCACAACATTTGCACACTTCAATCATGGCTTTAATCGACTATTGAGCTGCAACACACTCGTCGTGATTTGCACGGAAAGTTGAGTCACGTTTTTCGTGCATGCAGAATTATTTTTGTCATGCAGAGACGTTAATGTAAACCAGGAGAAGCCTTACCCTCCTGCATTTGCAAAGATCCTTCGTCTCCGTCGTGACTTTTGTCCTGACTGCAAAAACATGGACCACAAGTCACCAACCACCGCACAATCTCACCAGAATTATCATCAACATCTTTCCCACAGCGAGTTACCGTCGATTTCACATGGAATAAAAATGACAACCCGAATACTTACACGAATACTTTAGCAAGAAACAGCTTGCGCTTTAAACCCAATTTTAAACGTTTCATTTGTTTCAACACTGCCGCCACTCACTCATGAATAAAATACAGTTTCTGACAAACTATGCACGCTTTAAGTACTGTGGTAAACAGCAGCTTCCCAAAGCCGTGCCATGTGACGCTATCGAAGTCGCCAGGGGCTGCATTGCAGACTGGAGGACGTCGCAGTCATGTGACTTCAAATCTCACAGATTCAATGCCATGCTGACACCCAAAACTCGTTAAACTTTGTGTTTATTTTATCCATACAGGTCTGTTCTGTACGTTGACATTGTAATAGTTGTGCCAGACAAAATCGTGTATTCCAGAAACTAGGACGAATGTCACATCTCTATTTTTAATGTCATATTATTGTCGAAGTTTTTTGTGTTGTGACGTTGTTGAGCGAATTTGTAAACATGTATCTTTTTTTAACAATGCGGCTGTTTTACATGCCATGTAATGCGAACATACCCAATAGCTCAACGCGCCAAGTCAGTGGAAATTATAGAGAAATACGGGCAATTTAAATTAAAACATAATAAAAAGGAGAGAAATAATGGCAAGAGTAACGCTTCAAGTTATGGCCGGGTGTATTCAACGTTGGTCACTTCCTGTGGAACCCAGATTTGTCAATCCTGACAGTTCATATTCAGCCAGCATCCCCTAACGCTGCAAAACAAAATCACCGAAGCAGTGAGCCACATTGCAGAAGTTGGAATTCCAATAAAATATTTCGCAAAAGTTTACCACTTGAGAGTGCAGTCAAAGCGTACATTTCTGAAGTATATAAAAAAAATATGTCTGCAGCAGCTGTTTCTGCTGGAAGCCTTCTCGGTGGAAACATTTATGTAAACTTGGATAAAACTTCTACGAAAAGATGAATGTAACGAGATCCAAGGTGCTACCAAATCATGCCAACTTGACCGCGCTTAGCTCTACCCTCTCACCCCCTCTTTAAGAAGTAACAACCGACCGTATCGGCAAACATTGATCATCAGACACCACTAAGCGAAGATTTGGATAGGCGGTCCTATAGGCTTGCCGCAAGTACTAGGCATAAAGCGGGCGATAAGAGTTGTCAGGAAAAAGCCATAACCAAAACAACACTCCTGTTGCTTTTGGCATGGCTCTACAGTTTGACCAACACGGCGGACTGTGGTGATGTGACCGAGGGGGTTAGCGGCTTGGTCAGCGGAGTTTGCACGCAAAGCCTACCAGGCTTTTTTGTTGTTCTAGTTTTCCATTCTGCACCAATTATATACCAACTTTGATATCAGCATTCAGGCCCAAAAAAACAATGCCGTTTGTATTAGAGAACTTCTTACAAAGCCATTTTATTATTTGGAAATCTCAACAATAACACAGCAATTTTTCACTTTGCGTTGCCCTTGAAAAATAGCTTCTGAGCTCAATGGGTTTTACTCGGGGAAATAAACTTCTGTACTTCTTCTGTAATGAGCTAGCAGTGACACTTACGGGTCATAACCATGACATCCTTCAAGGGACAACTCATTTGCAAAATGTACCACTAGGTAAACTAAGGGTTAGATGCATGCCTATGTTTTTAATGAACCCTCACAGACAGGCCTGACTGATCCGTGAAAGAAAAATGTTAGGTGCTTTATTAAGCAGTCATTGGTGATGGGGGGGACAATTCAACTTGCAACTCGTGGGATCCTAATTGCATTTTGGGTATAATTAAGGAGTCTCAAGATCTGCCATGTCCTAACAATGCCACCTTATTAGTGCCCAAGCCAGCCATCCACCTCTAACCCGGCAGGAATTTCCAAGTGCAGGTCACCAATGATGACTATAACCTCGAAATGCCTCCCTTTTCATGAGAAATTGCAATACGGATTTGGAATCCACTCGTTTACATAAAAAAGGTCATTCATGAGTTTATCGAAGAGTAGTTTTTTAGCACAGTACTGCTATTTAAATCACACAATAAACGCAGTCACAAATATAAACTTCAACAAACATTATGCTTAAACATCTCATGAAGACACATATCATTAATCCACTAGGTACATGCAGGCAGAAGAAATGTTAGATCGCCAAGCCCTAAAAACAGCAAGTGCTCCACTACACGTGGGAGAATGATGTGATGTGGTTTTAACGGAGATCCATTGACTGAATAATATCAGGATTGAAATTACTTTAGTCAGGGTATGGGCCTACCTTGTTTGGGTCAGGATTATTGTGATGATGGAGTTGGGTTTATTATAAGTCAAGGCCGAGTTACATAAACTGCCCATGTGTTTGGGGAAAAAACCAGGCCAAGACAGAAATCAATGTAATTACAATGCCGCTGGATCACCATCTCTTCATTGCAGCAAAGCAGTGAGGTCAACAGGGCTTTTAAACAATCAACTAAGCCCGAAATCAATAAGTCAGACTCTCAGATAGGACTAGTCTGTTAAACATTTCATATGTAATCCAGTGCCAAGTGTGTGTTTGTATATAAAATGTATGAACACACTGTGTTCTGATCAGCTGAGCAGCACAATTGCAAACCAAGTCTGCACAAAGAGGCCACAAGGCTGCGTAGAGGTTTAATGTTTAATCTTTGGTTACAGACAAATCGTGCATTTGCCAAACAAATAATAATGGTCGTGGATTCTTGGTGTGGCTACATCCATTGGCCAAAACGTGACGGTTATAGCCTCGAATGCACACATGTCACCTATGAAGATCTACATAACATTTACAGCCCTGCCAATCCAATGATGAACGAGTGCCTCACACCATGCAGATCATGGGGGGATTATTTCACCATTCTTCACCACGCTGGTTATTGCGGAGAGCGTAGACGTAGAAGCATATAAGTTCACGTGGGTTTTGCCGCACTGCCCTCTGCTGCACACCACGTAGCCCTGTTGCCTATGATATCTGTTATACATGAAGATCCATCCGAGCACTAACCAAGCTCACGACCATGTCAGATGCCGTGCTACGCCTAGTTTATTCATGCAAAGCATTCACTCAAGAAACGGCTCCGGAAATGTGTCCATTCCCACAGCCCTGTATATATAGAACATATCCAATGGGCATCCCTGTAATTTGTCCCTTGAGTCAAGAGAGATGTACCCATGGGGTTTATTTTCTCCAGTTGATTTTCTAGTCACATCCACAGTAGAACTGTACAGTGTAGGCATGTAGTTTATAATTAGTGTGTAATAATATACCTATAGGGTTCATGTAAGATATCCCTGGCGTATGTATTTGCAGGGATAAGCCTGTAGTCTATCCCTACACTACAGTATACTTTTCTCGACATATCTCTGGAGAGAATCTGTGTAGATATTTCCCCAGCGTATCTTTTTGGAGCAAATGTTGGTATAGATTTTTGGCGAATGGAGATAATTAATCTTACGGAGTTTATCTATGTTGGGTATCTTTAGGTAGGTATTACGACTGCAGCAATACTGAAGACCAAGTCTGCACAAGGGCCATCCATGATCTACGCAATGGTTTAATATTTGATTACAGGCGAGTCGAGCATTTCTCAAACCAATAAGACTCTCAGAAAATTGACATTCGCCAAAACCTGTCAAGTTAACCCACGCAAGATCTCTCTAACAAGTACCCCTCGGTGTATGTGCGTGTCTACACGCTGTACCGTTAGCCCATAATATATTGCGCCGTCACCCATCCTCCCCCTAAAACCCCGTGGTTTGTGTGGCCACACACCGCAGTCATCACGCACACACGTGCTCCTCGCCTCTCGTTGTGGGAGGAGGCACCCCACCAACTCGCACTCTCACTCACCCGCTCGCCTCCATGCCTTGCTCCAACATCTCCATGCGGCTCCGGTAGTCCCGGCAAGTATCAACTTTGAAGAGGAGTGAGAAGGGCCCGGGCCGAGCCGGGCCCGGTGGTTAGGGTCGGCTAAGGGAGGGTTGGAGGAGTTTTTATGGTCGGGAGAGGGGGGTAAGGGTAGGGGGTAGACAAGCCGGGCACGCAGCCACGTGTGCCGGGTAGGGCGTCTAGGCGAGGCCGGTGCTGCGGGCTGGGCCCTGCTGGCAGGAGGGCCCAGAGGGACGCACTCCCGAGGTCCGTGTCGAGGTGACGATGCGGGTCGCGACGAATGTGACCCCTGGGGCGGGTTCGGAGAAGGCGCCGGCGGGTAGTCGAGTCGGGGTCGGGCAAGGCCCGAGTCGGGGTCGGGCAACTTCGGCGTTTTAAAGGACGGCGAAGAACGGGGATGGGGTTTTACAGTCGGGTAAATTAATAGAGCTTAAAGGTTTGGGGTTGAGGTTAGCCAGGGGGTAAAGTAGCTGTGGGCAAGGGTGAATTTACAGGGTCAGACTGTTGTTGAACAGAGCAAGGTTAACAGGAGAGAGAGCGGGGGGGGGGGGGTCAGACAGCAAAGCTCAAACGTCACTAACGAAACGAGGCCGGCAACTAAATTAGGTCACCGGCTAAATTATCTCAGCCCAAATGTAATCCCGTCAAGGCAGGTCAGCTGGAAGCCATGCGACGAGCGGTAAAACAAGAGTGCCAGATCGGGCTCAACGCACAAACCACGCGCCTCTGCCACATCAAGCTCGGCAAGAGGGTGGCGGAGATGGCTTGGAAGAGGGGAAGAAGAAGAAGGAGGAGGAGAAGGACACAGAGGCAGGCGAGATAAGAGGAGGCAGCAGCAGCAGAGGAGGCGGTGTTGTTGTTGTTGTTAGCGGCAGCCCCGTCCCGCGGCGGCTGCGGCCCGGGCCCGGGCCGGGCTTTTGAATCGCGTTCCTCCTCGCGGCGTTGATCACGCGGACACAACACGGGGTCATGTGAGCGGAGACGCCCGCCACCACCACCAGCACACGCCAATATGGCCACGTGAGGAGGGGCGGGGAGACGACGACGACGCGCGGGTCTCTTCCTCCTCCTTCTTCGCCGTCCTCCTCTTCCCCGCCACTGGCGTCGCTGCCGCCGCTGCCGCCGTCGTCCTCGTCTCACCCCCCCCCCCCCCCACGTTGCTCTACGAGGGCGGAGGGGCGGGGCGGCGGGGGAGGGTGAGAAGGAAAAAGCGGAACGGAGTTTTTGAGAAGTTTTCGTGACTGCAGGGATTCGTTTTCTTTTGTTCTTTCGGTGAAGTCACGGAGAAAGGAAGTGATAAAATAGCGAAATTAATGATTTATTTTGCTTGTTTTATTTTTATTATTTAGCTTCTACTGTGACTTTATCGAAAGAAGCAAGAAGTAGGAGTTTTCGTTGTTTGTGTTTCCGCGCGACGGAATGGATTGCATTTTGCGACGGTTTACGTGAGACGAGGAAAGTGCATTTTTATAGTTCAACACAGATGACAATTATAACAAACAAAAACTTGTTCTGATTGTTTTGTGCAATTATAAACACCGTGGACTTTAAAGGGAACAGAAAGATATATACAATAGGTGGCGTTTCGGACACTTGTCTTTTTATTGCAAATTTGATGTGTTATGAAAACGCAATTGTTATTTATGCTAATTAATACAACATATGACGTATGAAAAACGATTTAAAAACCGGCAACCGTTTTTCCGCAGTAACCCATCTCTCCACATTGTGCCCTTCTGGGGGTGCATAATTTCATGAGCGTTTGTGTATACAAGCTGATGGGATGTGTTTAAAAAAAATTGTTTACGGAGACCGACTCGCTGTCTTTCCGACAGCTCTGTGTCTTCACCTGAGGACGGCTGCTTGTGTTGTGGCCGAAACGTCGTGATCATTTTAATTTTATCATGTTTTATTTTTATTATTTCCCTTCTACGTGACTTTACCGAAAGAACAAAAAAAGATGAATCCCTGCAGTAACGAAAGCTTTAAATCGAAAAATGCAGCGAGAAGTTTTTTTTAAATATTGTTTTTGACCTGGGATATTAAGATTTCTTGCTCCAGTCCGGGATTTCTGGCTCCAGTTCAAATAATCCGCTCCGCGTTTTTCTGCTCGCCGACAACGCGCGGACTATTTTTTCTCCGCGCACGCGTTTAGTTTCGCTTTCCCGGGTTCCGCGCTTTTAAGCCAGCGTTTATTTATCTTGGGAGGTTTTATTAAATATATATATGCTCCGTATAATTTCGCCGGTGAAGAATTAGCGCTCAAATTCACTCGGGACTTGTTCGCGGTCGCGTTAATCAGTCGTTTGACGGCGTTACGAAGCAAACGGCGTTCAAACCGGGGCGGTGATGCGGCTCGGCGGACTGTGCGTCTGCGTGCACTGTCCACTCCGCGACAAGGCCCGGGAGAGAATTAAAAATGTTACATTTGTTAATAAGATATTAACGGCGCGTATCTAAAGAGTTTAAACGCAATTGGCGATAACGAACAAAAGTTTTGGAATAACTGCGCAGTCTAACAAAAAAAAGGACGTTCGAAATAAAAAATCGCGGTAGAAATACCTCCGATGCGAGTGATCGCTAATCGTTAACTGTTAATTATAATGTACAGACCACTCACAATCTACGGATGGTCTTCTCTTCTTCTTCTTTAAGGTTGCATCTGTCGACGAGGTGTGGAATTTCCTCACGAAGCAAAGACGGTGGTTGTGTAATCGCCTACACGAGGCGAGCTTTTGTCTTTAAATCGCCTTCGCCGGTTAATTGCAGATTATTTGAAATCTTTTTTTCAATTATCTTATATTTTAATCCACGGATTATCGATACCTGTCAAGCCATACGGTTTAACCATATTGTTGTCGAGGGAAATTGAGTTTTCAGGTCCACACGGCGTACAGCCGTTTCAATAGGGGCAAAAAAACATTTAGTTTTTGTCTATTTGTGTTTATCCCTTGTGATGGGAATTTGTAGGTTGAACGTTAACAATTTACAAGCGGCATGGGATGACCAATAAGTTCTAAATTTGTCTGTAATAAGGTAAGGGAACCTGATTATTTTACGGGTGTGTAGTAGTGATTGTGTTTCTCCCTTGTGATGGGACTGTAAGATGAACGTTGAAGATTTACAAGCGGCATGGGATGACCAATAAGTTCTGAATTGGTCTGTAATAAGGCGAGGGCACCAATGATTTTGCGGGTGTGTAGTGTTGATTATGTTTATCCCTTGTGATGGGACTTTGTAGGTTGAACGTTAACAATTTATAAGCGGCATGGGATGACCAATAAGTTCTGAATTTGTAATAAGGCGAGGGCACTAATGATTTCACGGGTGTGTAGTAGTGATTGTGTTTCTCCCTTGTGATGGGACTTTGTAGGATGAAGGTTGACGATTTATAAGCGGCATGGGATGACCAATACGTTATAAATTGATCTGTAATAAGGTGAGGGCACTGATAAGGGGTTGACGGGTATGATTGACGTATTCATTCTCTAAAGGTTCTAGTTCACAACCATATGTGTCTAACACAAAGCACTTCGAATGGTTATCTCTCTGCCTTTTCAAGAGGTAAACTGAGTACAGTACTTTAAAGTGTTTAAGGTCACCGTACATGATTGCATTAAAAACGTTTAAGTCAAATGTTCCACTTTGTTACAGTTCGCTCTTTGGGAGGAATGCGACAGATCATCCTCAATCTCTCATCTTGCTTCTTCACACCAATTCAGCAACAGGGTTACATCATGACAATGAGTTTAAACCACGCATGAATCTCACAAACAATTTTACAGAATGCTCCCTCGATGGGTATGTTTTCCCCCTATGTTGTGATAATTGTATGTAATTCCGTTCATTCAACAAGACGACCAAATGACTAACTACTAAATTGTACCTCATGCTGCCAATTAACTCCCAATAATTGTTAGTCTTCAGCCCGCAGTAGGGATCTCATATTGGGAGCATAGCCTCTACAAAATGAACGTATACAAATGATCTATAAGGTAAACCAGCTTAATGGTACAGGTAGGAACAACAGGTTCCACACTGCCCACCAGGGATTATTTGTCTGTCTGTCGTGCACGAATGCGCTGTCCAACCACGTTCCTACCTGCCCACTCCGAAGGAACGTGTTTGCAACTACCAACCCGAACTGGAAATTTTCCTGACACCACCAACACAATGCACTTGGCCAATAAGTCACTGGCTTGCCTTCAGAGACTGGATAAGCGGTGGTGGTTGGAAGGTTTGGTAGTGGTGCAGAGGCTATCACTGTCAAAGTCCTCATGATTTTTGCCAGCATGACCATTCACATTTTTACCTCGCACTGTTCAGGAGAAAATCCACTTGCATTCTTGTTTCAGAATATTCCACGACATTGCACGTAATTTATTATGCGATGCTGTGGTAAACAGACAAGGATGGTGCAAAGCAGTCAAACTCAATTTTAAAATTATTGAGTCTGAACCAATGTATTCCAGCAGCATTTAAACAGCAAACTGAAAACACATGGGCGATCGACAAAATGTTTTGATATAATGAAACAGACACGATAATGTTTTTTGCTGGCTAAAAGATTGAGGGCAGATCTTAAAATGCATCGCATCCTAAGCCCTTGTCTAAAAATGCTGCCTAGATGCTACCAGTAAAAAATGTGAAAGGCTAAGGTTAAGCGTTTTGTTTCATTGACAAAACAATGTCATCTTAAAAGGCTCCCATCACTTGCTGGACAAGAAAGGTGCTGGTATCCGAATATTTGTTACTGAGAGCTGTTACATGCTTCAAGTTGGTCAGTACTAAAAAATTACACATTTGTGATCTTTAAACACGTTACATTTTAATATAAACTCAAGCATAATGGCAACGCTAAATATAGATTGCATCGTATGTTGCAGATGATAAGAAATATTGCGAGATCTTTGTTATTCATGGAATATTTTGGCAAAGGTAACACTGCAGCGAACATTTTGAGCATCGGCTTTTGATTACGCGAGAGAACTTGACGATGAATGGTTTTTGTGTCTCGTCATCTTGATATGCTCGAACAAATCAAGAGCAATGTGCACACTCAACTCAAATGAAAAGGAACAGCGAAACATGCCAGAGCAGCCCATTTGGTGGCTTTCATGTACAGTACTGGATTGTACTTTGGCAGAGATTTTAACTTGTACACTGCCAAGCGAGGAAAACTAATGGTGCAAATTAGTAAGCTAGGTGCGCACTAATCTCAGGCATGAGTGGCAATCAATGCACAACAGGGAAACGTAAACCATTCTAGATGATTCAACTGTGCGGTAGATGCGCTCAATGCTAATAAAGATTCATATGGACTGCGAATCCAATGCTGGGTATATTATCGCGTCAACTTTATTTGTCTAAACGACAACATCTGATTACAAATAATGGCATCGGACCACAAAAAAACCAAAGTGACTAACAGCACTGTGGGTGGTTTGTTAGTGTCTGCTGGAGCCAAGGCACGTTTTAGGCCCAGTAGCCCCAAATAGCTGCTGTGGGAATCGGGTCCTCAGTCCGTGTTGTTGGTAACCACTCGCCATCGCTTCTGTCGAGCAGAGGACAACGTTCAACATTTCTGTTGGGCACAGCAGAAAAAAACACCCACCAATGGGTACTGGGGTCATTAAGTGTTGAGCAATATTGACAACACTGGCTCCTGAAAAAAAATCAATATATTAGTTGGAAATTTGTGGCAAGGATACGATGACAAAGCATTTGGAATGATATACAGTACATTCAACTCTTTTGGGTCTTTTCCCCTGATGAGTGCCTTCCTGTTTATAACCAAGTGGGGACCCATTAGAGGTACAGTACTGCTTTAGCAAGGTAGACTGGGACAAACATAAATACAATAAATATTGGACAACCAATAAATGATGTGCTAATTCGTACATTTTAAATGTTCGAAAATTATTCTGAAAATTATTCTGCAAAGTACGTCATGGTAATAACACGATTTATTCTGAACTAAATCATAAAACGTGGCACCTTTAAAATCCAAGTCAATGGCAAAGATGGTTCTGACATCTGTTCATTCACGGATTTATTTAGATTCCTTACAGAGAAAAACAAATCCAAGCCAAAATATCTGAGGCACATTACTAAATGCATTTTTAAAATGATAATTTTTTTCTTTTATTTAAACGTCACAATTTTATCAATGACCTGGACAATTGATGGAAAAACACTCAAGCTATGAAGTGACACAGCAGATTAGATCCTAGATGAGACTGCAATGATTCAACAATGTGATATGACCTATTACCTGCCAAGCGAAGTGCCTGCACAAATTGTTGCTTGACATGTTAAATTAAATCGCTAATGTAAGTTCTAGTCAAAAGTAAATTGTACTTGTAATGATTTAAAATATTAACCAGGAAAGAACGGGTATTTAAGACATTTCAACCATGTAATGTGTCGTAACATTCCTTGAAAAAGAGACATGCCACCTCAAAATGATAATAAAAGTTATGTGAAGCATATTAAAGTTCATTGGTGGCCCTGAAAAAGTGGCTTAAATTTCACATACCTATCACAAAAACCAGTATCTCCATAAGACAACCACTGTTATTGTCCTAAAATATTGCACCAATTTTATCAAATGCAAATAGACAACGGATTGGTATTTTACTCACAAGATTGTGATATTTTTGGGGGCGGTGGCATTCTGTCAACAACAGCCACCTATATTGCTTAACCATTCTCACTTGTCTACACAATAAGGGGCCCACGGCCAAGGTCAAAATTCCCAAATCATGTACCTCTGACAGAATCAGTTTTGGTTTACTGGCCCTGGGTGCTGGTTATTCAGCATACCATTTACAAAATCCCACTAAGTTGACACGAGTCCCGTTTCAAAATAACACAATGGATGAGCGTGGACTACCATTCCATCTCAAAAGGCATTTCACTCTTATGTCAAGTGAAGTAACCGAACCAAACTGTACGAACATCCCACTGCAGTTGGAGAGGTTACATACAGGGACAGCGGTGTGTGTGGGGGGGTGTGAAGTGCGACGAACCATGGCGTCGTCGTCGCTCATATCCGTCCGATTTCACGCAGCTTTGCCACCAGCTGCTCGGTGGTCTCCACTTTGATGCCGGCCTGCCGCTGGGGTGGGTCCTCCACGGACAAAATTTCCAACTGCGATGCCACGTCCACACCTAGATCCTTCGGGGTGACCATGTCAATCTTCTTCTTTTTTGCTTTCTGTGAGCACGGGAAAAAAGTCAGAGACACGTTTAAGGATTTTTTTAAAACAAAAACGAGGTGGCTTGGTGGTTCATAGTGATTGCTTCTGAATGCCAATTTAGTACACGTTAGTTCTGAGGTTCCAATCCTCGGGAACCACAGCCTAAGCTAAAACTAGATTTTCTTCGCTAAGTCGTACGTTCTAATTTTTAAGTAATGGGTTTTTTTGATGTTTTACTGTAGGTATATAACGATTTATTGATTCATAGACTAAAAGTGGTTGTTATACTCAAGATGAGTACATCCAATCGAATAGAATTGACGCAAATGACATGCTCATGTTACGTTTAGAAGAGTGAACAAAACTGTGATTCTTTTTAAAAATTGCAACCGCCAATCACGACAATTTATTGAATCACGTGGAGTGGGTGGTGGGGGGCGGTGAATCATCTGCCTATTTCACTATTTTACAATTTGAAATTGACAAGAAGCAGTATAATGATGGCAGGTCTCAGCAGGTCGCTTTCGCCAGAGCGAGATTACCATGATGTTGGGCAGGGTGGCGTAGCGCGGTTCGTTGAGCCTCAGGTCCGCTGTGATCACCGCCGGCATGTTGATCACGATCGTCTCCAGCCCACCGTCAATCTCGCGTACTACCTTCACCTTGTCACCCTCCAGGTGGACTTCAGACGCAAACGTGCCCTGCAGATAGCAAGAGCAACGTAGGTGCTGGGGTTACGGCGAGGGTGGAACGACTGATTCATTAAGCTCACGATACAAGAATTGACTCGTGTGTAACAAATCAGAATTGAGTGTTTATCAAACCGTATAATAAGCTGTACGTAACAACCAACAACATCTATTTGCATTTGTAATGCACCCATAATTTAACAAGTGTATTGCGTTACCACTGCAGCTACTCGAGGGTGCAGGCATTCTTCAGTGTGAAATTAAATGTATATATTTTATCAAAGTGGGACCCTGAATCACGACAATTCATCGATTCACCAGAGAAATTAAACATTCTAACTGTAGTTACTATCATCTTTCCTTTGTTCTCATCTCCCTCTTCAGAAAGACTTGAAATCCCAACATCATTACTGTTTCAACAGTTTGATAACATTGCATAAATGAAAAAAATTTGGTGGAAAATTTCAAATGTAGGTATGCATATAATTTAACGTTATCACATTTTTGTTAATCACTTGCACTCAGAGACAGCACTGACGTGACATCGAGGTTGCAGTACCTGAGGCCAGTCCAACAGAGCTGCTGTCATCTGACCTGTCTCATTACAGTCGTCGTCAATAGCCTGTGGAGCAGACACGATTATGCCGACTTGAGCGATTGAATTCCATAAACACACAAATGACTTAACACCAGTATAACAGCTCTTCCCGCGGCCATATTACATAATACACAACTTATGCAACACCACCACGGATCTTCCATCAACAGCAACGACAACATTTTTAGACCATGGAGCACAGCAAAAACTGGCACCATTTGAGGAGGCCAAACTTTAGGGGTATCACTTGAGATAATAAAACTCCGGTGGTATTGATTTTAATTAATATAGACAAAAGTAAATTGTGCAATTATACACTCATTTTAAACATTACACAACTCACTGTTATGAAACAAACACAATGGAGGGGGAATGGGGAGTGGAGCAGTTGTGCAGTGTTTAGTGCATGAAAAATGAGTTTGATTTCTGCTATCACTCCCATCGGTAACGACTGGTCAAGTATGGTCAATGGACTGCTGCAAGCATCAGTGCGGAGAAACGTTCATCCAGCAGTTCAATTGACTTAGGACTGTACGTTTATTCTTTTAAACACGTAGATTCGATCACTTTAGGTTGCAACTGACAAGTGATATATCCGACCTATGCAGACGGAATACAAGAGCGCTGCATTGTTTCACTTCGAACTCCTGTACGACCGCCACACAGGTACAATGAACGCGAGCCACTCCATCATCCTGCCTCATTGCCACCTCCACGCACCTGTTTACCGAGGATCACGAGATTGACGTCCTCCTTTTTGGCGAGCGCCGCCAGGATCTTGGAGACCTGCAGGGGCCCCATGGCCTCGTACTCTTTGCCCGACACGTTCACGTGGATGCCCCGGTCGGCGCCCATGGCCAACGCCGTGCGAATCGTCTCCTGGGCAACACGCACGCGCAACCCGGCGCCGCCTATTAAACCCAGTTCGCCTGGTAAGAGCGCAGCGGAGGAGCGGAAGTGGAACCCAGCAACGAGTTTCATTCACGGTTATGGCTAACGTCAGCGGCGAATGATGTCTGAACTGTCCCTTCAGGCCTCCCCTCATTTACCGATCCACGCTGACGGGTAGTGAAGTATGGTCATCCCCCATGGCATGAGGAGACTTTCATTTAGTAGTGGATTACGCTTGGAAAGAGGAGCTGCACCGGTCGAGAGCACGGACCTTACATTGCATGAGTTTATGTATAATTTCCACCAAAACATGAACCTTTTTCCAAGGTTTTCGTCCACCAAAAACAAAACACTAAAATCGAAAAGCATCCACAAAATTAACAGATAATATGTTCCACTGGGGAGGGCGAGCAAACAGCACGCTTGCCAACAAATCGCAAGCCCTACCCCGAATCCGTATGAACCAGCGAATCGGCGACAAGTACTAACTCTCTCATTTACTATAACCCTACTCCTAACCAACCAGCAGCCCGCCATTATTACTATCCCTCTCACTGACCATAGCCCTGTTCCTGTTGCATCGGAAGGGTCCCGTTCCACTGTTAGCTTTTAAGCTTCGGCATTCACAGCACTTGCTTTCCCTGCGAAAGTGCATGTGTCACGACCGCCTGTGGGGTGGGGGTTGGCGGCACCATCGCGGCTTCCGTACCTGGCACTGCTGGGGACCACAGCTCACGGCCACGATCTCCTTGGCCAATTTCTTCTCCTTGAGGCGGACGGCCTCCTCCATGGCGATCTCGCAGAATGGGTTCATGGAGTGCTTCACGCCATCTGTCACCACGCCGGTCTTGTCGGGCTTCACGCGGATCTGGAGAAGCGGTGCACGTGGCAGCAGGTTGCACACAGGGCTTATAGAGGGCCCACATCGGCTACTCATCATTGACAAGGCCCACTAATGGCTAAAAATGACCGACAAATGTAGTATGTGGTAAGTACAACGGATTTGTGGAAAATATGCTAAATAAACTTATAAGTTAAACACCAATGTTTGAATTTTGCAACTCAAAACACGTGATGCACAACATATCACGACAAACCGAAAATGGCCACCACAGCTGTTGCAGGATGGAGCTGTGAAGGCCCTTTAGCCCAAAACCTTTCATAGGAGTCGCACTAACTGTGCGGCAATCGTCATGATTTTCATCAGCTGGATTAACGTCACAGCTGACAATTCCACTTCAGGGTTGCTACATTTGGGCCATCCATTTTTACGCATGGAGGGGGGAGGGGGGGTGAAGCCTCGATAATTTGTCTACATTGGCCTTCAAATGAGTTAGACAGTCCGGCGGTGGACTATCTGTTTGATTAAACACGTTAATATGATTAATCCTTGATCGTTTCTCCGTGGATTAAATATCCGCCGTTCGATAGGATTCGGGGGGGGGGGAGCTTCAAGCGTACATACCCAGGTGGGGGTGTAAAAAGTACGGGTGCGTACAGGGAGGGGTGCAGGGGTCAAGTTTTGACAGATTTTTGTGTACGTACTAAATGGATGGCCCCTTAGCCTTTGCACCTGATTGTAAAATATTCTTTAATGATTCATGTTTTTCCCCCCATAAATAGTATTTTTTTTACTTGAAGTGTTGTTTTTTGTAAACTCACAAGTGAAAGTAAGATTGGAGTTATAGAGGGGAAGGTGGGTATGCACTCACTGGATTACCATGTTAACAGTGTTTGTGTTCATGTTTATAAACGGCAGCTGACCCAAGGCAGGGTTTAAACAGCACACCGTAAATAGGTCGCATTTACTTAAGAGCATATGCTCAGCACCTGTGATCTGTACGCAGACGCCCAATACAACAAGGTGATTCAAGATTCTCTCCGACACCAATCCTCATGCTCCACCACAATTCAAGTATCCATAATTGCAAATCATCATGATAATGACAACATGTGGCGACATACTTTGCATGAAAAAAGTACAACAGTGAACGAATGAAGGTGGACTCGTGCATGGTGAAGCATCTGAAATTTTAGTTTGTTCATCCCTAACACCGATTATCACGGTTGCCTAAGTACAGTGCAAAAAAAGTTCAACATACATTGTAAATTCCCAGACATTAAGTGAATACTTTCATTGAAACATTACCACATGGACAGGGGTAGTGACAAGTTTAGCAAGCCAGGTTCGACATTAAAATGCAGATAATGGCATCGACGATTCAGCAGGTGCAGCGGATGAAGCGCGGATGCAGTATGCGTTGCTGCCCCTGCCGTGTCCTCTAAGCCTGGCAACTCCTGTCCTTGCCAGCCACCCAGTAGTTGCTATCAGTGCCAAGTGCAGGAACGTGATCCAGAGATGGGCAGTTATACAAATGACGCAACTTCAGTCAGTTTTAAAATAACCAGTCCTACATGTGTGATGTTATTTGTAAGGAAATTGTATTTTAGAAGGTACTGCTCGTCTCTGGAATGAGTCAATGGTTTTGCATGCACTTATAACAGAATGCATCATCACCATCTCAGCGTTGATGAAAATTGCATGAGTACATCTGAATGCCATGGTATTTTATGAGCATTTATCCCTAACCAAGATGGATGGACAACTTACTGTATGACAGTTCTCATTGGTTGAGAATAATATTCCCAAAACGCCACTTCACAATGAAATTAATTTTAAAGTGTCCCAGAAGTATGTCGGAAATCGAGTAACGGTTGCTTCTGATGTGACTCAAATGGTCGAAACGAATAATCTATCTTGTACAGCATTGCGTGATGTGGCACATTTAGCTCCATATATTATATTTGCTTTTTTACCACTTGTGCAGCGATAGGGCCAACAAACCCCATATTGCACGTTAAGCCTTAAAACAAAATGTTGAAACAACTACTGCTGGTAAGCACTTATTAAGAGATCAGTGTGGCCAGAACCACGGCGGGCTAATTTTATTGTTTTATCAGTGCTTCCACCCTGCACCAGGTACTTATTTAAGGCTGAGTCGACTTAAGTGAGCCTCAGAACAGGTTCTGATAAAACTCAGGGGGCACAGCTGGTGCATCTTCCCGTGATCTCGGTCAGTCAACCCATGGCACCTGGGTCTGTCCCGCGACCTCCGCCTTCGACACTTCACGTGGCCTTAAAGTGCACATAGCCTGGCACAAGCGTCGTGGCGACATCACCGCCACTTCGTGGTGGTGGTTGTTGCTGATTAAACTCGCCACCGATGTTTGGCTCTGGCTCGCATAGTGCACGAACCATTTAGAAACTCTCGCATTAATACACTCAAGACTCGCACGCACTCCAACACTCACTCTCGCATTCTCATACACACTCGCATGCCCTCCTCACACACGCACACTTGCTCTCTGAACTCTCATTCACAAACATATACAGTAGTCACACACACACACTCTAGCACTCAAAAAGACTAATTTCCACATACCATATAGCCTGCAGACTTGGGGCAAGTGCTTTTTTCGATCACCTATGAAGGTAGGCACGGAACACGAGGGGGTGGGTGGCCAACATCACACCCGACCGCCTTTGTCTCCCCAGTGGCGATGTTTACACACCGCATCAGGTGCCCATTTGAGGCCGAGTCGATCGAGGGGAGGCCCAGGACCGTTTCAGAGAATCGTCATCGGTGTTGGTGGCCGTGAGCGGGAATCAAACTTGGGATTCTGGTGACGTTTGAGAACTCCCGCAGGTGACGGTCAACTTGGGAACCCCTACGACCTTTGGAAGCCCCTCAGACCCCGGTCATTAGAGAAACTAGAAAGCAGAGGAGAGACCCGGGACCTTCAGACAATATTAGGAACCAGAAACCCAAAGCTGGGATGGAGCTGAATAGGAGAGGGACCTAAACACCAAACCATACAACCCTCAGAAGCGGGATCAGGACCCTAGGTAAGACGGGAGAAGAGCCACAACTCCAGAGAGGGGTTGAGATCATGACCCCAAGGGTCACTCTGGCTCCGATGCTATCCTCTGTGGGTCAAGGCCCTCCCGGGGCCCTCCCTCTCCAGGCCGGGCCCGCAGTGAAGGTCAGGGGACGTGCCGGTCTTGTGGGCAAAGTGGCAGAGCCGCGTCTCCCCCCACACACACACGGAGACCCCCCCAACCATGATTCGACCTCGACACCGACCCCCTCCTCGTCTTGATCTCCACTGCTCCTCTCGCCTGGGGTGGGGGAGGGGAGAAACGCCGCCGCGTCAAAGTCCCGCCCGGTACCTTGACGGCGTAGTCAATGACTCTCTTCACTCCGACCAGGACGCGCAGCGCCATGACGATGTTGCCGCTCCTGCTGACAGCAACGCGTGCGGACTTTGACCCAGTTACGTCACTTCCTGTTAGAGACACGCCCCCCTCCACCCACCGACCCCGCCCCCCTCCACCCACCGACCCCGCCCCCCTCCACCCACCGACCCCGCCCCCCTCCACCCACCGACCCCGCCCCCCTCCACCCACCGACCCCGCCCCCCTCCACCCACCGACCCCCTCCACCCACCGACCCCCTCCACCCACCGACCCCCTCCACCCACCGACCCCCTCCACCCACCGACCCCCTCCACCCACCGACCCCCTCCACCCACCGACCCCGCCCCCCTCCACCCACCGACCCCGCCCCCCTCCACCCACCGACCCCGCCCCCCTCCACCCACCGACCCCCTCCACCCACCGACCCCGCCCCCCTCCACCCACCGACCCCGCCCCCCTCCACCCACCGACCCCGCCCCCCTCCACCCACCGACTCGACCCCCTCCACCCACCGACTCGACCCCCTCCACCCACCGACTCGACCCCCTCCACCCACCGACCCCGCCCCCCTCCACCGACTCCGCCCCCCTCCACCCACCGACTCCGCCCCCTCCGCCCACCGACCCCGCCCCCCTCCACCCACCGACCCCGCCCCCCTCCACCCACTCCTCGACTTACGAACACCCGACTTGCAAGCTTTCAGAGATACGCACAAACCTGCTCCGTTATGTCAATTCGCATGTTCGGGCACGAGAGTCGTAAGTTCATCCGCCGCGCAATAGATGGCGGTGGTTGTTCGGTGTCATTACCCAGCATTTCTGCCTGGGCAGAAGATAAAGAACCAGTGGCATCTACATTTGCAGAACATGAAGAACCAGTGGCATCTACATCTACAGAACATGAAGAACCAGTTTCATCTACATCTGCAGAACACGAAGAACCAGTTTCATCTACATCTGCAGAACATGAAGAACCAGTTTCATCTACATCTACAGAACATGAAGAACCAGTTTCATCTACATCTGCAGAACACGAAGAACCAGTTTCATCTACATCTGCAGAACATGAAGAACCAGTGGCATCTACATCTGCAGGAGATTATACAACTTTTAAAGCCATTCCCCGTGTTTAGTGTACATGCTGTAAAACATGTTTGGAATCGATAGGAGTAAAGTTGAACAAATCAACTTCTGGGCTTCTGGAACATAACTCGTTTGTAAGTAGAGGAGTACTTGCATTTATTTTTACTGGATGAATCCGATGAGCTATAAAGCTATTTTTGTGTCCAGTAGGGGCGGGTCAAAATGTTACAATAATAATAAAAAACGACAGTAGTGCAAAGTATAAAAAAAACATATTACTTAAAAATATACTGTACAAATAAAACGTAACAATGTTTTATCCTACCAGGCAAAGCCCACTGAACTATTAACTTATTTTTCAGAAGCGACCTGGACACAAATGATAGCTGAACAAAGTGTCGTATCATGTTGATATTTACAGCAGCAAAATAATATAAATGCGTGTTTCTAAATGTGGAGGGAAATAGCGGAGGACCGGAAAAAAACCACGCGACCACGGGAAGAGAAACACGCCAACTCCAAATACACAGGCGGTGAGACCCCACCCGTACTCTATATATACAGACCGACCTCGCTTAGCGTGACCCAGTAGAACGCCGATTCGTTATAGTGCTCTTTGTCCTGGATAAAAAAAGATGTACTGCACAAAAAATGAAAAAAATATCTACTATTGATTTGTTTACATATATATTTTTATTGATGTGTTGTGACGGCTTTCCAGACAAAAACAATACACACCAAAATCTGTGAGAATATCTTACAGCATACATATTTCAAGAAATACTCAAATAAATGCAGATACATTACTGAGGTGAAACTTTTCTTTTCTTCGCAGAGAAATATAAAATGAAAAATGTGCGTCACGCTTGTGTGGGAAGTCCACAAATAACTGTGAAGTGATTAGAACAACACCCTTCAACATAAAAAGACCAAACACTGGACTTAAATTTTTAGGTAGATATTTGAGTCACCAGTGATCAAAGTCAAAGTGATTCTTGCTCAAATGAGCACTGAGGTGGTGCTCACCTCTCATTTACAGCCCTGAGTCAGTGGTGGGAATTCCACGTTCCTATGGTGGGGGCGAGTCTATCCATAGGACAACCACTGTTGACCTCCCCACAGTGGTACTCTTTTATCGACCCTGGATGGATAATGATGGGCCGAGCCAAGCTCCAACCAGAATTTGAACTCGCACCTTTGTGAGTGCGAGCCGATAGCGCTACCGATAAATATTTTACAGCCACCACCGATATATATCTACATGCCTGGCATGGCCTCACTCTTTCAAAGGTGTATCTGGTTGTGAAATGTGCGCGTAAAACAGAAGCGGTGTATAGTTGGTTGAAAAAAAGTATAAATACACGTGATTAGTGTTTCAAATAAATCACCTGCGGCTGAGTAAAATGAAGTTACTCGATATTTAGTTGGTTTGCTCGGCCAACACACCAAACATTACAATGTAGGACATCGTTTGTATTCAAAATAAATTATCGTGGCCGACCATAGGGTGGGGCCATTGCACTCACAATTAATCATATTTTGGCCAACCACGTGAGCATGGCAAGCAAGAGCGAGCGCATCAGCTGCTCAAACTCAAGAATGAATCGCTCACTCAGCAGTTGTCAAATCGGTACTCCGTGGAGCCCAACGCGTGACAAAGCACATTTACCTTCAATTCCAGCCTCGATTTCATCTTAGTTGTGGTTTTGCCATACTTCCAAATCGCCCTGCGCGACTCTGTAGCGGGGTAAAGCTGCGCAGTACCTGACAGAACCACCCCTCTTCTCAGTGGTGCCTTGTGTACACAATGAGACAACACTGGTGTGCTGAGGTATCAGGTGGATTATTGCTGTTACAGACTATTCCTTTCAAGTGAAGAAAATGCTAAACTAAAAATGATTATGTGCCAAGCAACCCGATTATTATTTTCACCCATGCCAATTACAATTGTCTGGCACGCAAACACAAATCAACATCCCATCAGTGGTGTGGTTTTAAAGTTATTTGAAGAAATGCACTCCCCTGTTGTGAACATAAATAGCTTAAAAAGTGACTTTGGCATCTTCAAATAAAATATGCTTTGACCATTAGTGCACTACCAGCAAACGTAAACAATTCTCCACTGCTAGCAACCACCTGCCTGACTGCCTGCAGCATCTGTCTTCATCATCTGTCTTCATCGCAGCTCTCCAACGGAAGCCTTCGTCGTTCTAAAAGCGCACAGACGTGTTCCTCGAACACAACATGATATAATCGTAAGCTACTCGAGTCGAGGGACGTTTCATTTTTCACGGTGTGGCGTCACTAAAAAGCATAATCAGTAACGATGTCTTAAAGCACTTCCAGTACAGTGCAATATATGCCACATCAAGTGAGGAGAGACCACTTATGGCAAAATAGAGAAATGCATTTTACAATAAAAATAACACAAGGGATTTCCAGAGTAATGTTTAAAATGAAAATGTACGGAAGAAAAATGTAACGTTTGTTTAAAGTTCATTTAGCATGCTCGTTCGCTGGACACCAGAGGGTTCAACAATCGAGGCACTCACTCTTTACGGATTTCCTGTGCGATATGGGCAACATTCAGTCATGCACCTTGTAGGTCAGACCACTTCCAAACCTCTTGGCATTTTCTCAAGTCCCCGTGCTCATCACTGAATATACAAATCGATGGGGACGAGCACGTCAGGCAATAAAGAAAACCTATTAGGTCGTTTAAACTTCCATTACCCGCCGACAACGGTGACCAACTTTACCAAGAGGGCCACTGAGCTAAGCTTGTTCCCTTGGACACCGCTCTCTCGATGGGTTCGTGAAGCACAGGCACTTCTTGCTGTCGTTGTCGTCGTTGTCGCACTCATGCTGGGGGTCGTTTTGTGCATCCCCCCCTCCCCACTTCCCATCAGCGTAAGTGTAGTAACGTCGGTTACGAGGTCTCCAGGACATGGGGCGATGCACGTCCAGACTCCCTCCAAGGTGCCTCTGGTCCCGTCTCGCGGAACTACGACCGCAGTGGGTCCACGGTGGTGGGGGTGTGGTGGAGGGAGGGGGGGGGGCCCGGCGGTGTTCACGGCGCTCGCTGGTCACCGCTGCGTCCGCACGAGCGCGCGGTAAACACCCAGGCCGAGCAGCGCGATCATGGCGGCCCCGATGCTGGCGCGAAGCCACACGGACGAGCCCCGCGCCTCGCACTCCCGCCAATGCCTGCGTCACAAACAGGCATCCAGATGTGCACGCCTACAGATTAGCTTATGGGCGTGACCTTTTTCCATGACTAGTTGCAAGCAGACCATTGCTGTGCTGGGCCAGAAACCAGGACACAAGGCAGACCATAAAACAGAGTAGCTAATTCTGGCTATATATTTTGCTTACTTTAATCTCGTCTTATCTATCCCTGAGCAGAGCAACATTTTCTGTTAAGAAAATGGCCCGGGGAAGTGGATACCAAAGAGCTACCTATGAGATCTATTCCAAGTGACCTTTGTTAAACAGCTTCGGCTACAACACTTTCCAATCCGTGCTGCCACCAGGTGGAATATAGACAAATTAAGTGCAGAACCAATTTTTTGGAGAATCACGAGTGACTGAGATGCGACTTATTGCTTGCTTCTAAATATAAGGAAACACAAAGGCACTGGGGAGGCTTCAGCACAGGAAGGGTCTGATGCTTGACACAAAATGCAGAGCAGGACCTCCACATGGATGGGGCCTAATAGTTAAAGTACCCTTCTAACTGTCCACAGACTCATTATTAGTTAGTCCAACCCTGCACACACACACACACACACGTGCTCAATAAATTTAGCTGAGCAACAATAGACTGTTATTTCCAATAATTTAAAAAATAAATTTAACAAACCTCGCAGACATTAAATAAGAAGCGGCAACGCAAGCAAGAAAACAAAGCGGAAATCGGTGGAACATCAAAGTGCAAAGCAGAAAACGTGAAAAACGGTGAAACATTAAAGTGCAAGCACACACAAAAGCTGCAAGCGTCTCATTGATAATGCCTGGCACTCTCTTTAAATGTAAAAATGTGCCTCTTTAGCTGTTTAGACTACCAGGACAACTGTTCTTCGTGAGCATGTTTATGCTAGCATGGATTGAAGAGATAGTAGTACCAATACCACGGTCTTTGTCTATCATAGTTAAACAGGAACAATAATCATAATAAGCAATGCCCTTTATTTGGCCAGGAAAGCCTCAAGACTCTGGATGTTTGATCAATTTCGTTCATGAATGTTTGGCATACGGGCAGTCACCATACCACCATAATTCGAGGTACTCACGTGAAGCGGAGTCAATCTAAGGCCAACCGAGCAAAGTTCAGGTTGAGAATTATGGCAAGTAATTGAGCCCAGATCACCGAGACCTCTACCACTATCCCACCTCTCTGCACGCACACAGTGGATCCAGTGATTAGTCTGCAGCAGCAGTTAAATTTCAACTCAATTAATTAATTCAGTGATCATCCAACTGACAAACGTGCTCAAGAGACACCAACCCCCCTTGCCGTGCCTGAGACAATGTGGCAGGCGGTGTGATCGGGGGTGTAGGAGAAGAGAAGTGAGGAAATGGGCTGTGGTTGGTGTGAAAGGTGAGGCTTGGGGGGGGGGGGGGGGGGTTGACGAACGGGGGGGGCGAGGGTTACCTTCGAGGGAGTGACACTCCCAAGAAGGCGCTCCCTTCGCCTAGCGCGACAGCGTGCACCTGGTGCGGGGGGCCTCGCCGCTCCCCGCTGGACAGGACTATCACTCCCAGCTCCTCCAGACAATCCCACAACCTTGGCGGCGTGACGGCGCGCACCACACGGCGAGACGACCGGGTCAGCTCGGGCGTTTTAGTTTGGGGAGGGGCGAGGGGCAAGGTAGGAAGGGGGTCAGGGTAGGTACGGGAGAGGCGGTGGCCAAGGGGTGGGTTTGGAAAGGTCCAGCAACCCACAAAGGTGATTCCAATAACACGATAAGCCCGGTCTCTCCCCGAACAGTGGCATGCCTTAATTTAGCCCTCAGTGTTAATCAACGATTTTATCGTAACATGATGGGGGTGTTCATTCATTAAATGTGACATTTTTATTCAAGTTAACTGCAAATTAATATGGTCATCTTGTTGTTGATGGGCCGGGCTGCGTTCAGATCACAAAGCACGGAGAGACTGGAACCACAGCTCTGTCAACAAGCGTTGTTAATATTTCCAACAACTCTTCAGTAGATTCTGCTGCCTTCTGCTGCCTTATGGCCCTCAGCAACCAGGTCAAAACTTTGTAATCATCGTTGGTATATAATTTTCCTATCAATGCACACGGCCAATTAATTTCAATGAGGTTTTTGCCCGGTGTGTGAAAATAACATTGGTTGCTCAAGTCCATAGGTTGCCAAGCAACATTAAGCTGGCTCCAGGCAACATGTGGTAAGCTTTACAGGTGGAAAAAAAAAGGGTTCATCCACAGATAATGACCAAGCATTGACAGAGAACTCGCCGTGTTCGAGAACAAAATGCACGACGCTCAACCCTCGTGACAAACCAGAGCTACGTCCATCTACTGATCCGCAGAAGATCTCCAGCCGCCAGTCTACGTCTGATAAGAACCAAAATCCTTCCACGCGTAACACCTGCCGCCCGTCGGGTCGGCGACGATGGAGGGCGCGGGGAATGGGGAGCAAAGAACAGCCGCTGAGGGTTTCTGCGCGGTTCGCACTTAACGACAGAGCGAAGCGATGTGCAACAGAAAGAGGCAGAGAGCAACCCAGAGGAAATGCGCAGAGACGAGTGGCCTGATGACACACGGAGGAGAGGGGACACAAAGGGCAAAGAAAAGAATAAACAGTGGCAGATAGGTGATAGCCGAAGCACTCGCAACCATGTTTATAAAGTGGTCAAGTGGAGAAATCTAAAAAACATGGGACCAATTTAACACAACTGCAGAGTAACTGTTGCCTGTTTTTTTCTACCTTTATCTTATTTTGGTTTCCACAAACTTTCAGCATTCATACATGAACACAGATCTATGTGCAGTGACGTAATCATGCACATGAACTCACTTTGTCGTATTGCTCAATGGACACGGCAGATACACCATGAAACGATAATAAAGGTTTTTTAGGTTAGATCGCGTAAATATAAACGTATCGTTAAATCCGCCACCCCCCGACACAGTTAATTAGTAAGTTGTGACAAACAAAATGTGCCAATTAGTTACTACTTCAGCACACTGGTGTGTTGGAGAGTAAACCCAGAACATTTACATATCGAGTACGACGTTTCGCTGGTGATTTCAACAACCAGCTTCATCAGTCGATCAGCCAGAATTGCGAAGAAGCCTTCCTGTTTACACTATTCCACTCCCAGTGTACTACCAGTGTACTCCAGAATAGGCTTACGTTTAAAAAAACACATGCAGAGTTGGGTGACCACGCTGGAACCATCAAACTCGCTCGACGCAACAAGTTGCATTAGCAATAATTGAGAGAGAGCTGGATTTGAAGAACCCAGACTTCAGGTTCGGTCTCAGTGCTCCAATGAGGCCTTCGGTCCCCTAAGCAACGCGGTCGATACACTCACTCCACGTTTACAGCCGTTTGCACGGCTGAGCGAGAGCACTCTCGCTTGTGATCACCGCACCCCACGTTCGCCACAGAAGTATTTTTTCACATCCGCGTCCCAGCAACGTCATCACCAATATGGGCAGGACATTGAATGTTTGGCAGACATAAATGAGGCTCAGTGGAATATCCGAGAGGTTTAGGGTGGGGGGAGGGTGGGGAATGGGTTAACAGAAAAACAATTAAAGTGTTAAAAGTATTATAGAGGCATTATAGAGATCGACTGTCACGTGATTCTTCTTGACTACATTTGAGCAGGAATTTGATAGAGGACACACTACGGAAGCGCTGAATGACATCGTCAGATAAACAGAACTCGTTAATAATCACAGAGTGTGAGATTAAGAAGAAAATGGGACAAGGATGCTGATGAGAAATTGAGATAAGAGGCAGTGATGAGAAGTTAGGGATGTAACACTGCACCCCTCCACAATTCTACGAATTGTCACAAATCAGATTCACAATGCCCTTCTCAAAAATAACAAATGTTTTCTCTTGCTAAATATGTGGAATATATAGCGGTATAAATATTGTGTGTGCAGTGGTATGAATCTACAGCGCAATAGTAGTATCAATCTAATTCTATAGTTGTGGAAAAACCACAAACATACAGGATGTGAATTGGAAACCATCGATTTTTACGTGGATAATTCAGTACACGTAAAGCGAGCATAACATTCTATTTTAACTAAGGCGACGTTATGTCCCTCCAAGGCACGTAACAATTCAGCGCCTCACTCGCCGATGATACACGAATTGTTAAACTTTGAGGGTCACAATTCTATTCAATAACATTTATTTTTAAATCTCACTTACACCGTTAGTCTCTCTCTGTCGTGTTCATTTTAATAGCCAATAGGTATAGTAGCATGTAACTTTCATATGCATTTCATGAACCACTAAAAAAATCGATTTACACAACCTATCGTTCAAAACATCTATCGTGACACAAAGATTCGAGTTTAAGGCACTACGGTGGCAAGATGATAACGACCTCGCCTGGTATACAGATCGTGGGTTCGATCCCGACCCCAACACGTATATATGGAGTTTGCATGCTTCTCTGGGCCCTCCAGTTTTTCCCTCCTCGTTTATGTAAATGCGTTTAGAATATTTGGCCACGCTAAATTCCCACGTGATAAGCCACTTCGTTGCGCTATAAAATTGTGGCCAGGTCACTTCTGAAAAAGAGCCATATCGCTCAGTTGGCCTTTCCTGGTAAAATAAAAAGTTTTTATTGAAATAGTTTAGTTTTAATCGCTCAATTGCGCACACGGCCTAATTACTTCGTGAGGGGCGACCGCGAAGATTTGGTTGGGTGAAGGGGGGGGGCACGAGAAGGAGGAGGGCAGCAGCGTCACGGACGCAGCGGCCGTGCGTGCGCATGGAGGAGGAGGGAGAGCGAGAGAAGGGCGAGTAGAGCGGGCAGGTGCAGGGAGGACCTGGAGCGCAGGGAGGCGAGGAGGCGGCTTCGGAGGCCTCGCAGCAGGGCTGAGCCCAGCAGGTTTTGACACACGCAGAGTGTACACTTGTTGCAGTTACACAGGCAGTCTAACTGGGAGTGGCTGCAGGAAGACACAACGACAAAACCAAAAGACAAAAATGCACACGCTCCCACACAAAGAAGAGGAGGAAAAAGTTGTTGGCTTCAGGGGAAATGTCGAAATTCTTGGGCAGCTGTCAAGGTGTTAAACCAAGTGTCATTCTGATCCAGAACCATGAAAACATGAACACCCAGTTTTAACCAAAGCAAAACAGTAAAAACATTGATAAGGAACGCACGACCGCTTTACGGAATCACAGGAAGTAAGAAAGTAAGTTTAAAAAAGTCAAGAGACCGTTGATTAACCTTGTGGTGTGTCGGGGCAAATTCGGTTCATCCTGACGCACCGCTGCACCGCTGCACCACCACCCAGGGGTGATGGTGACCCACACCATGTTCAGATACCAAACGGCCACTTGTCTTATGCAGCATGCTCACAACTCAAAACCTGGGTCATCAACACCACATCGCAGTGCTTTCCCCAAACACCACACCACCCATTGACGCACGTTTGAAGACGAAATTCGGAATCGTGATGTCAGATCTGGACTTTTGTTAAATGTTTGATAGAGCTCCACAAACATTCCCGGGTCAGTCAGACGGAATCCTGTGTACAGCTGTCTATCGAGTGGACAACTATTTACTAATTCACTGAAACCTCTATCCCAGCGTTCATCCATATTCTCCGTCTCTCTCTGCTACAACTACGATCACGGTTGCTGTTCGCAAGATTCTATCTCCGGATTGTATTACTCTGTGTTCACTCTTGGCCGTCTGCTCTCACTTTAACGGTGCAGTTTCTACATTACAGGACAGCGATTTTCTCTCCTCACACAGCACAGTAACTTGTCACCTACTGACTTTACTCGAGTTCCCACTGTTTTCTCACACTCAACTAAGTGAACTAAATAAACACAAGAAGCCCACTGAGCGATGAGCTCTTTTTCAGAGGAGACCTGGCCCCACGTGATAGCTCATCGATGTAGCTTATCAAATGTGGGAATTTATAGTCGCAGCCAAATAATCCAATTGCAAATTTCTCAATGTGGAGAGAAAAACAAGAGGACCTGCAGAAAAATTCACGTGACCACGGGGAGAACTTGCGAACTCTAAATATACAGGAGTCAGGGTCGGGATCGAACCCACGACCTCCTGCATACCAGGTGAGGAAGATAACATCTCGCCACCACGTCACCGCCTTTGCATTAAAGGCCTAGGGGCATCAACATAACCAAAACCGTAAATAGAGTACGATATTTACCATCTTCAATTCCTTCTCAGGAAAAAAAAGTACCTTTGCAGTTTAGTTTATAACAGGTTTTATCAACACGTTAGTGAATTAAAAATAAGTACGTTGGAGTGTTGAAACGGGCCTGCGTTCTTGTTACAATAAAAACTTAATACAATCAAAACGTAAGTACGTTAGGCTTCTCATGTCTCCCCACTAGTGGACAGTTCACACACTCATGGTCAACGTTAATAGCAATGAATAATGTTCACCTAGCAAACGTGATTTTTTAAAATAACTACCAAAACACCATGACCACAGACCTCCGCTGCACCAATTTGTAATGCGCACGGTATTCGCTCGCTCTCGAATTGAGTAAATGACTCAGAGGCACGAGGAGCCACCGAGAGGTAGTGAGACGGCGCGCCATTTCCTCCCCACCTCCCCACCCCAAAGCTCTGCGACCCTCTACATATAAGGTGTTATCAAGCCAATTAATGAGTGTTTACATGCAGCAAAAAAATTAAAGCACCCGGAGGAAACCCACACAAGTGAGGGGAGTGACACTGTCTCCCGTAGAGAATGGACAGATAATATTAGTCCGCACGTTTTCCATACCACATTCTCATGACACCCACAGTAAGAGAACTTCCCAACATTTGCATGACCCACCAACCTTCACTGCCTCCACAGTGCTGTATGTACATATGTTGAACTTCTTTCACACAGAGCGTAGGCTAAACATGCTAATTAAAGTGCTGTCAAGCCACACCTCCACCCTCCAACTCCCCCTCCCCTTTCCCCCCCACAGAGTCACGATGCCAACAAGCTAGCCAGACGCTACGCACGGGTAGATGGCGACCGTGAGCAGCTTGAGGAAGATGTCGCGGCACGGTGTTTCGGCGTCACCGACGCCGGGCGTGAAGGGCGCCGGCAGCGGCAGCCGGTGCTTGCGGCAGAACTCGGCGGGGCTCAGCCCGTGCAGCTGCTTGACGGCGCCGAGGTCCGACTTTGTAGCCACCACCACGCACGGCACGCGGCTGTCCAGGAAGTGTTGCTGACCACGGTGGGTGTGCGAGTGCGTGTGTGTGCGTGTGCGTACGGGCAGGTGAGGAAGAAGGCGGTGAGCGTGCGAGCCGAGTCGGAAGGCAAGTGCCAAACAGTAGGAACAGAAAGGTGAATCACTTCATCGAATTTAATGACATTTTTATGCTCACGATGACATTCATTAAATGGGGAGCGTTATAAAGGAGTGTTTTCGCAGTCTGTATGCTGTACGTTATGGGATAAAGGGATCCCGGTAGCCAAGAGAGGCGCTACATTCACCACAATGTTAACAGATTCCCAAATTGAGCTTCACGGAGACGTTTAAGATGGGCACAGTTTCACTGAACGCATCGTCAAAAGCGTCAGACGAAAGTGGCGTTCTGGTTTACTCATTTCAATTTGGTACATCTGGTATTTGTGCCGTTCTCAATAGCGCAAGGATATCATAAAGGCAGTCAAGTTTCACAGACAAGTATAGTTTGCCAGTAGGGGGCAATGTGACTGGACATGTTAAAAACTGTTTTATAGCTCATAGTATTCCTCCAGTGTTAATAAATATTCATGATTCTGACACGGTTTTTTTTGCTACCTAGATAAGTAATTTGGGAGTAAACTTCCAAATTTGCTTAAATTTGTGGATGGTGGCGCCCGCGAACACTAGTCGCCACCGTGATGAACGTCGCGGGATCTTTTTCTCGTCCACCGCGAAGCAGATGGCGGTGTATGTAAACTAAACACACCCGCAGTGCATCAACCAGGGGCACAGGCCCGCTGGCCCTCTTAACCACGAAACGTCTGCAACAAGCGGCGAACAGGAAAACATGCTCGGCCACGTCGCTGGCTGACACGGCTCATGCGGTGCGGGCAACCTTGAAGATGCGAGCACAGTACTCGAAGGAGTGGGGGTCGTCCACATTGTAGAGGAGGCAGGCGACATCGCAGCGCACGTCGCCCGATGCCAGGAACTCCGAGTCCGTGTCGATTTCATGCATCTGAGCGGTGGCGGCAGGAAGCACAGCACAGAACACAGGATGACATTGAGACGGGGCGCACAGGCAGATAACTAAAACTAATGCGACCTGATCACAAATGATAAATTTATAGCAGCCAAACACTCTAAACGCACATTGATTCTAAAATGTGGAAGGAAAAACTGGAAGACTCGGCAAAAAATCCACGCAACCAAGGAGACAAATGGGTTAGATAGCGATCTAACCCAAAAAACCTCGGTTATTGATGATATTGGTCATGAAAGCCTACGTATTGATCCAAATATACAGGCGTCAGGGTCGGGAACAAACCCACGACCTCCTGTATACCGGGCGAGGTAGTTAACATCTTGCCACCGTGCCACCCATTCCCCTCTGGTCAGATAGGGAAATGGGTAAACAGGAACAGAGAGGTAGAAAGAGAGATGGGCACAGCCAGACAAGGAGACAGACCGTATGAGTAGACAGGAAGATATAGGACCAAGTCAAATATATTTAGCTTGTTTTGCTGACCTTGCCAATTGGCTATCGCTTTTACGACACCGAGCAGAAGCAAGTGATGATAAGATATGGTGGCATCAATAGCATTTACTACGGATTTCTTTAAATCGACTTCGGTTTAATTAAAATGCCAAATTTGATAGAAATTGAGTTCGGGTTTGTTGTGAACGTTTCAGGGCAGTTTATGAAAAGCAGAAGATCCCTGGATTTGATCTTCCACAAAGCACATGGTCCACCCTAAATTGCATCCGCACAAACCATGGCAGATGCAAATACCTGATGCACAAATGGAAGATTTAAAAAAACTCTCCCGTCTGCGACTGTGGTCATCCGGAACAGACCAAACAATATCGCAATGCCCGATCCAAAAATACGAAGGAGACATCACAGTGATACACTCCGCTGCTCCCAACGCGGTTATCTCGCTTGACCACCCGAATGTGAAATTGTAGCCGCTGCTCTGCATCTACATCGACCACGTGAAAGAAGATGAAAAGCAACCGATGATATCATCACGCCCCATCATTGCGGAAAAATCAGGGGCAGCGGACAGACGACGATTGAAACGAGGCTGAGCGAGTCACACCCACCAGCAGGTACTTGTCGTGTCCGTAGATGGAGAGGGCGTTGATGGCGTACAGCGACCGGTGCTCCTCCCGGATGCGCTTCTGCCTCTGAACGACAAAGGCAGGATTCGCCGACTGAGTTTTTTGCACACGCTAACGCGGGACATCCAACGGTGATCGCCCTGTGATGTGAGACTGTGGTGCTCGCCTTAGAAAAATTGACATTCTGCCCATTGGGTCAGCACTACCATTGCAGAAGAATGGTGCCCAACGCTCTGCTCAGCTGGGCATGGGGATTAAGCTGCTTTTTGTGTTCGATTTTGCTGTACTTCTCCCGTACCTCTGATTAGCATGGTTGGCTATGTACGGTGGTGTGAAAGAAGTTCAACACACATACATACAAGCCCTGCAGCGATTCACACAAACAGCTACACCATGTCACAACTTAGGGTCACGATTAATTTTAAGACTTGATAATTTTTTGTCTCGTGTTTACCATTCTGGTTAAATGTTGTTCGCTACGCTATTCTTAATAGACATATAATTCACATACATATCAAATAACAGATTCTTACAGGCACACTTCATTGCACGTATCGCTAGCATAAAACAAAAAAATTCCACCAATAAATTGGTGGATCGTTGCATGCCAAGTGGGGGACTATTAGTAGACGAAGAATTCCGTGGTGAAAAAAACGACCAAACTAAATGTTTCCTTTACATTCCTATGACTTAAATCATCGTGAAACGTTTACAGATCGACGAATACTTACGGACAGGTTCTTCCCCAGGAAGGCTTGCAGGAACGCACTCTTTCCAGCTCCTCGCACGCCGAAAACGTTGCACAGGAACGCGTTCCGCTGCGTTTGCTTCTTCGTCAGATCCAGCTTCTTGTCTCGCGTCACTGCAGTGCGAGCGCGACGAGGCGGACGGGTCATCTCGGCGAATTCATCACGCAACCTCCGATCAACCCTCGCAGTGGCGGCTTTTGGCTAACCGTCAAACAAAGACGGCCACTGCTCCGATAAGCACGGCTTTCTAAGTACGGTGCAAAAAAATTTCAACATACATACTCTGCATCGCGCGCTCAGACGTGCTTCTGCGGCCGACTAAAACGCTCTTCCTTCCGATATCAGGAAGCCACTGGAGCTATCCACTTTCAAATGTACATTGAAACCTCATTTCTCTAGAACTGCGTTTGTATTTAGTTTGTTGTCCTTCCCACCGCGTACCTCCGATTAGCACGGTTGGCTACGTACGGTGCGAAAGAAATTCAACATACCTACATGCGTACATTGTGCTGAGGCCGCCACCACCACCAAACACTTCGAACACATCACTGCCTCTAATTTGTCAGGGTCACGCACGCACAACACAGTCCACACCACCTGACTTCGAAGATCCTACTTAATGGCCATGTTTAAGGGATGAGAGTGCGGCGTGTAGAGTTTAACGTTGTAAGCGCTAAGAGTGTGAGTTGCGCAGGTGAAGTGTCACCTGTAAGTTAGGGATGTGACGATTTATCTGCTCGTCGATTAAAATCGTTTCTTGCGTAAAAAATAATAATTTACACGTGAAAAGTATATCTCAATAAGATGCTAATGTTAAGGGAGACGACACAATTGTACAAACGAGGCAGAAAGATCGAGAAACGTAAAAAATAAACGATAAAACCGAGACAATCAATGAACAATTCTTTAGCCGAATCGTGACAATTCATCGATAAGTTCCGAGGATTAATGGTCAAGGAAGGGTTATAAGGTGTTAACTGTAAATGTTAAGAAAAGTTGATGGATTGTGGTTGACGGTTAAGAGTCGTGTCACCTGTGATTGCCGAGGCCTGGGAGGGCTGGTCGGCGAGGAGCGGGTACCCCAAGTGTCCCAGGTACTCGAGGCATCGGTGCACGTCTAGGTACGCCGTGAGCCTGCACGCGAAACAACGCGATGACGAGGGGAGGACAGAACGAGATAACTCTAATGTCACACCGATCCCACTTTCCAGCCCTGCCTCTTAGCCTCGACAAAATCACCACGTTTTGTAATTCTGTTTTTCAATGCATGTAGTTGTGTATTCTAATTAGGCTGCTGTTGTCGAAAGTACACAATGAAGCATTATCTTCTGGTCTTGATTTGAAGCTTTCGTGACTGCAGGAATCCATACTCTTTGGTTCTTTCGGTAAAATCTGAATTTTTTTTTCTAGCTACGTGACTTTACCAAAATAACCAAAGAGTATGCATTCTCTTCTGCTTTAGATTTCCCTGTGGAAATCTGTATTTGATAAGAAACAAGCTGGAAACCTTTGCCTGACATTCTCCGAGGGTAATGTAATGTATGATAGTCATTTAAGACGTACAAAATTCATGCTAAATGCATCTCTAACGGGGAAATGCATTATCACGCGCGTTGTGGACATTAAATGTGTTTGCAGGTCACACTTGAAGGGTCTTTGTTCAGTAACCTCAAGCCCATGCATCGTTAAGCTGTGCATGTTAGGGTGTGGATTCAACTTCTTTGCAGGAAAATAAATCCTTGGTCAAACCACTACTGAATGAAGACCTCTCCATACCGTTCTGGGTTATGGGTGTTTGCGAGACCATGCAATAGTCAGTGCGGGTTGTGTAAAAGGGAGGGGTGGCAGCACTGGCTCAGATATCACTTGCCACTGATGTTAGTCATAGGCGGCATTCAAACTTGGGCAAACCAGGTTGATAGTACAGCGCTTGATCCTGCAAAATGACTCCCTCACCATCCTTGTTGTAGTTTTTTTTAATGAGATGATCGATCAACGAATTTATTGATTAATTGGCCCACCCCAGGAGGGCCGGGCACTCACGTCCACTGCGCGAGGTATCCCTGCTGGGTGATCCATCCTCGCTCGTTGGTGAGCACCGTGTGATTGACGTCGGGCCCCCAGGGCATGTAGGGAAACACTCCGAACAGCTCCTTCAGCTCCTCCAGGCTCAGCGCCCGTCGCGGTCCTTTCAACGTACACACCGGGCAGGAAATAAATACAACAAACAAAAAACCATGAAGTTAAACGAGAAAATATTGACAGTTTCCAATCCACTAACAACCTGTCTACCACCGAACGACAGAAAGTAATCACTTTAAAAATGTCTTTAATTCAACTGTGTGCATGATGAATTTGATCAACTACAGTGGCAAGATTGGCCGAGTTGACCCCCACAATCGACAAACTCACAGAACTTGCAACTGCGAGTAAATCACGCTCTCACAGCACAGCCTGCCCAAGCGATGGATATTCAATAGGCACGCACGTATGCAGACTATATGCAGAGGCCACGTGGGAGGCAGGCAGTGGAGTGCCATTCGTACCAGGTCATGTTTTTCAAAGATCCTCTGCAGAAAGTTGTAGGCGTGGTGGTTGAGCTCGGTCGTGCAGTCGGAAGGAACCTTGAGCCTGCGGGAGGTCAAAGAGGACGCCAGACCATACACGATTAATTCACCGTGACGTCAATGTGACGTCCATTTTAACGCAACATAACTGCAGTCTTGCCACTATAATGCGATGGCAGGGGCAGGGTGCTTGGCCATGCCTTTAAACTGTTTTGATAATTAACAACGCTTGTGTTGGACATCCCAGGATACATGGCTTTCGTTCATATTTAAGGAGTGAGTAGGTTAGGGTTTTTCTTGGATTGTGTCTTTAAACGAGGGTTTTTCAACAGGCAGCCCCTAGGCCAGAAGGCACTTGGAGTGGCCTGCTGAGAGTTATGGCACGCCGAACTATAGAGAAATTAAGATGAGTGAGAGGGAAGCGAGATAAACAGGAAAGAGAGCTGGTAACAAGATGCACTGATTAATGGTCACATGCGCAAACATTACATTACATGACGTCACGTAGCCCACCAGCACATGCCAGTTCTTGTTGCAGCCCACCATAAAATCTAGGTTGAAGACCTCGGCTTAAATATAAACAATTTTCGACGAGATTTCTGCAAAAGCGACTTTTAGCGCCACCCTCACCCGCCCTACCCCCCCCCCTCCCACCCCGGCACCCCGGCGGCAGTGGGCTCAGCAGGCCACTCACGACGGGTAGAGGTACTCATCAGTGAGATCCAGGCCCTCGTCGTAGCCGAAGCGGCGCAACGCCGTCCATGTCGTCTCGTGCCGCCCGCGCTGCACAAACAGCGTGTGCAGGAACAGGAAGCCTGGCGGTGAGCGGCATGCGACACGGAACCGGACACGAGAGGCAGGGAGCAGTGAATCATTCACGTTCGCAATAACCGCACAAAAACACAACGGTCCCCCCGCTCTATTTGTAGCTCCGATAAGACTGTTAGGGCAAGTGCTGTTCGAAAGTAAAATTGGTCTCTTGCTTGAAGGAGTGCTGGATGGTGCTCTTAATCATTGATGATCCTGAACCAGCGATGAAAGGCATAATTTCTATGGTGGGGAGTAGTGTTTGCATAAGACGATGGTGATGATGACATTGAGGCCCAGTAGACTGGCTGGGATCTGATCTCGTGGTCGAACGACTGGGATCCGTGATGCTCGACCAAATGAGTCATAACATGCTGGTAGCAAACAACTACTAGACATCTGTGAAAAAGAGCTTCATAGCTTATCAGATTCCACCAGGATAAATAAAGATTCCGATTCTGAACTATTACTAAAGTCATTATGGTACATTAATGAGATCACACCAGCACCGGTTCCATGCTGAATTTAATCATAATGCTGATTAATCACTCATTTATGACTGAACTGACCTCATGTAAGCCAAAAACTATACGCAGAAACAATTCTACAATCATGATATTTGTGGCCTAAAATCAAACTCAGGTAGTTATTTTGGAGTGCTTATAGACTTTACACACACAGACATAAACACATAAGCAGAGACACAAGAACCAAACTGGTACAAGGTGCGGCGTTTTAAACATTTGCTGAATGAGAGCACCAATAAAGGAATGTTATTGTTAAGATGGTGAGGGGTGCGCTGGTGAGCGATTGCTAAGAACAAACGGGGGACGCCTCACCTTCCAAGGTGAGGGCGCCAGCCAGCACGCCGTTGGTCGTGTTCTTCCTCACCACGTTCTTGACGTCCTCCAGCGTATGGGGAGCCAGGGGCGACTTGTAGCAGGTTTTCTGCAAGCGCGTAACGTAGCACAAGTGAAGCACAGCAGCAAGTGAGCCAGGAATCACCGCTTGATTCATATAATCATCAGCCATTATCAATCCACTGCCAGATGAAGGATTACACAAGTGTACACCATCTCCCGTGGTCGAGTGATATAACAATCCACCGAGCACCTACATACCAACTGATTTTGTTGCTTCGTAGCTGCAACTCTGTCACCCAATGCCATCGTTCCTTCGAGTGACGTCCTACTCCAGCCCACTTTTCTTAACCGGCAAAGGAATGTCTTTAACCTCATTTTTAGGAATTAAGAAACGGCCTTTTAAATGTGCAACTACTAACTGTTACTTAAAGGAGTTAATTTCATGTGCCGACCTATGTGCTGGACACAGCAATGCCCTCTGACCTGGAAGTAGTTGATCTCCGTGTCATTGAGCAGCCCATCGTTGTCCTGATCCGAGATCCTGAAGATTCGGGTGAGAGCCTTCACACACCCCGGCCTCAGCTGCAGATGCACACACACATCATTCACAAACCATCGCAACTAACAAAACACTTTTAACTTTGTTAACAAACAATTGACCATAGCAACATAGGGATGGCAAAGCATTGAGGTAGCAAGAGCAAAAGCCAGATTTGTCGCAGTGGTCACAGACTACAAGAGATTAAAAAATAAGAGCATACAAATGAATAGCTGGATGTGTAATGACAGTGCCAATAACACTCAACCAGCACCGCTGAGAGACTGGGTTAGATGTTGATATTTAAACCTGGTTTTCAAGGGTTTATGGTCCGTGCCAAATCAGAAATAACTGACCACATTGCAGGCATTGGTTTTAAGAGGTGGGTAAGCTCAAAGAAAACTGTTCACTCTTGAGCTCATATGAAGAAGCAGCAGTGTGGAGACTAAGACAGACTGCTAAAGGAGAGCTGATGTCACTTCAGTTTTGCTCAGCAACGCCATGTTTGGCCTGACAGTATGTAGGTGGATCTGAACTTGAAATGTCCTCCAATCTGAGCCAAAATGCCAATAGTACAAATGTACTATCATTGGCGAAAGTCTGAAACCACAAATTTAAACGAACAAAAAATGAAATGTAATAAACTTTCCATTGAAAATCAAACAAGAGGCCCCTATATTGAATTTTCCACAACTGCGCTATAAAAATAAGTGACAAATAATACAAAAAAACACCCAGTGTTCACATATTATGCAAGTAACAGGGGTGTGCAATTTGTGTGGGGGTATTTGGTAGCACTGTTGAGCAGCAGTTCAGTGGTTTTCGTGCACTCTCCTTTGAACCTGGCAATATGAGACTGATTCCCGGTGATGTCTAACATAATATCTTCACCGATTCTGGGCACCAATCTTTCACCGATCCACATCGACCAGTGCGACGAACTATGGTCAAATAGCTCCCATGTCTGACACGGGGTGAGGAGCAGTGAATTGGAAAAGGATTGTGAATGATGAATTATTATATCTCGACTGCAAAGGTGCATCTAGTGTTGCAGAGCGTGGATCTGTGGGTGTGGGGAGCTCGGATATTTGAGTGGGCGCGGCACTGGACCTGTTTCTCCTCCGGCGAGTAGAGGGGCCCCGTGGGATGCAGCACCGCCTTCTGGGCATAGTAGAAAACCTCCGAGATGTTGCGCAGCACCCGTGCCGAACACTGCAACACGCACCAGGCGGTCGGTCGGCTGTCAGTCAACGCATGTGCTCGGCTTGACTAGGGCGTCACGATTAAGAGGTGTGACGTATGTGTACGTATGCATGTTGAACTTCTTTCGCACCGTATATAGCCAACCGTGCTAATCAGAGGTGTGAGGAAAGGACAAAAAACTCAACACAAAAAGTAGTTATTTAAAGAAATTAGTTTAACATTTCACCACTTCTTCTTGCAATTCGATGGATAATCGAGCTTTAGAGACGTGATTTTATTTAAATTGAATTTGTTTTTCAACCATGTGGTGACCGGTCAAGCCTTAAGTGCCTGCCAGGAGATGTGAACCGATTACATGCAAATTTGACAGATGGGAAAACATTGATTCGTGTACATGCGATTGATGCACGTGTAGTGAGCCACATGACGTCTTATGTTACGTGTACGAATATTATGGCGTCACACGGTGTCGTGACGTCTTAACGTTCAAACATGTAACTACCAACATCACGCCTACAACTCGCCCATCTCTAGTTCGTGTTTGCTTTTCTTTCATCTCACTAATCTGTATCTAAAAGCCTTCCCAGTTCACATCTGGCCCACAGCAGACCACCAGCTGAAGAACCCAGGTAAAGGATGGCGGTCCGTACCTCCACACATGCTTCAATGTCGGAGTACTGGTTCATGATGGGAAGAATGGCCTCCATTGAGCTCTGCTCCACCAAGTCCGTCTTGTTTCCCACGAGGATTATGGGTATCCTGCATGCACGTGGCACCCTCATCATACCTCCACATAAAAACCTTCTACCAATGTATCAACATCATCACAAACCAACATATGCACACCAACACACATCCACAACACTGACCTCCTACCAACATTTAAACACTACCAACACTTGGCACCACCAAAACAGAAACACCATCACAAACCACCCACTGACCCATGACCTGTAGCACGAACCTCCGACTGTGTTAACAGGACCAGGCAATGCGAAAAACTCCCATCAACACGAGACATACCTCACATGAGCAGTCTACAAAAAGCAAAACATTGGCCAGTCACTAAAATTGCAAGTTTAAAAAAGAAATCAACAAAAGTAAAAAAAAATCCACTTCACCGAGAATGATGCTGCACTCATCAACAAGTTTACAGTCCTGAGCCAGTGGTGGAAATTCCATATTCCTTTTCCAAGGACCAGTTTATCCATAGCACGAATTCTGTTGACTTCCCTACAAATTGGTAATTATCTTAGCGGCCTGCTTAGGATGATTTGAACTCGCAACCTATCGATTGCAAACCGCCCCGATCTCACGTTGCGCCCTCAAAGTGGATAGCAAGGTGATTAAATCTGTTCATGGTTTTATAAAATTAAGGCTCAACGAAGAGTCAATAAAGATGTGGCCCTAATGCAGTGGTGGGTACCTTCCATCTTTGCCGACGGTTTCGATTATCAGCGGCACCCACTTGCTCGTGATCTGCAACACAGAGATTTTTCAGTAGTCTTGTGGAAGAAACCGAGGTCTGCAGATTCCCCACAGAGTCTGAATCGCAACTATTTTTGTAGTTGATGCGCACAACACACAACAGTACTAATTGCTGCATACCTATCCATGGAATATAAATAACACAATAAAGTGTTTAGTTTAAAAATAAACGTTGCCTCGATTCAAAATAAGCGTCCACATCACCCAACTACTTATGAAGTCACTTGAGTCAGGCATCGTTCCACTCTCGAGGCAGCTCAAGTTTCTTTAACTTTACCATTGCAAACACTAATTTTAGATGCATAACAGTGCAATGATTATACGGTTGCCGTAGACAAATATAACCTTACTCTGTTGGGGACAAAGAAATTGGTTGTGAGTGAACCATCGTTATTTATTGATAACAGATCACTTTGTTCCTCCAACCACCATAAACCAAACACAAAACCACGGGGGGGACAGATCTTTCTCATTTGCAGCACCACATCTCTTGAAGAACCTCCCTGAAGCAATATGCACACTCGACTCCATCACTACATTCAAGTTACAACTCAACAACGCGTCTCTTTGCACTTGCATACAACAACTAACTCACAGCCACAACTTGCTTTTATTTTAAAATTTTAAACAACTATACATAGTAGGCAAATATGCATGTATTTTTCTCATTGTTTAGAATTTTCAAATTTTACGTTGAGTATTCACATGATGGAGCTTTCAGTGGAAGATTTGTGCCAGAAAGACAAAAAAACATGTTCACGGATTTTGCAGCTCATGGCTAATTGGTAAGGGTAACGGGCGTACATCTCGTTGAAGCACAGTTTAACCAAGTTAATAATAATAATAAAAAAATCTATATTATTAGCACAATTTCCACAGCTGGCATTCACCTTCTCAATGGAATCCTGGTCGTCCACTGCATAGACCACGCACACCACGTGAGCCTAGAAGCGGAGAGAGGCAATCAACTCAATTCATACTCTTTGGTTCTTTCGGTAAAGTCACGGAGGTAGAAAAATAAAATACCTACGTGACTTTACCGAAAGAACCAAAGAGTATGGATTCCTGCAGTCACGAACGCTTCAAATCAAGATTCAACTCAATTCAGTTGCTAAAAATAAACCTGTGCTGAAGGCAGATGAGGAGCGAGCACTTCCATATTTACGGTCTGCATTGCTAGAATGTTATTTCACCCAGCGGTTCAATATCATGTTTAAAAAGAAGCACTTTGCCAATGTTTTATTTAATCTTGGGAAAAGGCCACAGCTTGGTGAGATTAATGCAGCAGTAAGTTGGAGTCTAATCTGCCTAAATAAAGTACTTAATGCGATTTGCTCATTAAACAGCAACAACATTTTTAGCAGCAGACTCACAAACGTAAAAAAATGTTTTAACCCTCGAAATGTATGTGATAAAAGCAACAATTGACTTTTTTTTTTTACAAATCCCACTAGGACATGCTAATCTAGATGACACAGAAGCCAAGGGGTTAGTTATTTCTTTGTGTTTTACTAAAGAAACCCCCTTGACCAGATTATATTTAACCAAAAATTTGCTGAAATAGAAAAAAAGGAACTGTGACAAAAAAAATCCTGTTCTGCTGCCTATGGGTACAATTGTCAGCACTTTACGGTGTACAACTTAGCGAGGTCTCTGTGACCCCCCGGTGTGCACGATGTAATTCAGTACAGTTTTTGGCCACACCCCATTTAATAAATGCACTGCCCGCCCTTTCCAAGTTAAAGTGTGGGAGTGCGACATTGAACAAATATTTATAGAAAGTAATAGAAATGTGTCAGGAAACATGGGAACAGCTTGATGGCTACTCAATGACTTTGCAGCAGGAGGACACATTTCATTTGTGAGCTTATTTCCCAGGTCTAGAAGACAAGTGTGTCAGCCAATGTGCACGTATATATTGAATCTGGCTTTATACAGGTTTCCCTTGCAAGTTAAAAAAAATACACTCACCCGGAGAATCTCCTCCTGTAGTTCTTCATCGGTCTGTTCGATGTCTGTAAAGAGTAAACGTCAAACGCGTGTCAATTTGTGGCCAACACCATTTTACTAATTGATGCTATCATCAATCTGCACAATAAACATTGATTCTGTTTCAAGGTTACAGTACATGCTCTCCCTCTTTCACACTCGCATACTCCCTCTCTGCCTGTCACATTTTCCACCGTTTCCTATTCCATTCTTTCCTCATATTTCACCATCTTCCACTTTTCCTTTCCATCCTTCTCATCTTCCGTCCCTCAGCCTTTTTCTCTTTGCTGTGTGCAAAACGTTCCGCCGATTAACTACGTCATACCCGAGTAGTCCACAATGTGCGTAGGGACCTTTTCCGGCGTGACGTCTGCTGGTATGGTGATCTCCTCCGCTCGATGAGGCACCTGCGCAACACGTGATCACGTACGACACACAGCACCAGCCAGGGCATAATTTCCAGCTGAATATTTTCGGGGTCGTGGGTAAACTGAGTAGGCATGTGAAACATTTTCTGGATCGCTGGTAAAGTCGAGTAGGCACGGGACTAGTAGCCACAGCCATAGCAAGAGGGAAACTGGATATGGTGTGTTGGGTGCAGAAATATATTCTGGCTCACCAACCCAGACAGACCGAACTGAAATTAAGCCTTGATACTGGCCCACCTCTCGATGCGTACTCATGGCAACCAATATTCATATACTGCACAAAGGACTGTCTCAATACTTAAGAGAGCATTATATGGCAATCATCTCCATTGGCCGTCCTGAGCCAGTGTTGGCAATTCCACATTCTATGGTCTAAATTAGTCTCTCTACAGGAATATAGTTAAAGTCATGATTAAGTATGACTCGTCACTAAGATACAAATTTTATCATAATTAATAAACGAGCACATTAGAATTTCTACGGTTTTCACTTATTCTTATTGCACAAGATAAAGTAGACTTTGTCAACACTAAAGTAGCCAATATAATAGATCCTGGACAGAGGTCTCTACTGAATGGGTCAATTCAGCCACACAGTGTGTGCTTGGAAAATTGCAACTCATTAACCGAAGACTGCATTCTACAACTAGAGAAAATCTGCATACTCTTTTTGAAATAAACATTTTAACCGATAACTAATTTACAAACTATTTCACCTCTCCAAATGATTCACACTAAATATCAGTACACACTGTTAAAACATGATAATAGGGTTTTCCCCTTTCTGGCAATAAAAACAGGTGTTAAGATGTTAAAACATCAAACTGAAACCCTTGCAAGGAATCATGTCTGCATTAACCACATATACTTGTGGTGAACATGCAAACAAAAAAACATGTTCTGACAGTATGTGCATTGTCTTTGAAACCGATTGGTCCACACCAGAGACAAACAGTGTTAGACCAGAGGACGTTCATAGATCAGGTCGTTCATAAATTGCTCATCCATTATTTTCCTTGGAGTAGCATTGTCGTAAAAAAATCCACAAAATACAGCACAGATGCATCGTAACCCAATAAATCCAATTAAAGTACCAACCACTGTACATTGTGCAGTACATAAACTCCTAAACACAACCGCATGCAAAGAATGTGTAACCATGTTAAACAAAGACTTCAAAGTAGGTTGATTCACCCTAGCGGCAGTAACATGAGTAATGTTATGTAACAGGAGACATATAAATAGTTTAAGTTTTATCGCGTGAACTACAACAACAAGTGTTATCTTATGACCTTGAGCAAAGCACTGTGCGAGCTTAAGCGGTGGCAATTAAACCCCACCCGTCAATTGAGGTCTCACCTCTTCTGGGAACTCCTCGCTGACAAGAGTCATAATCAAGGAGGTCTTCCCCACCTTGGCTGGGGCATCGGTGCACAGGGGTCGGTTTTGACGAGGCGTTCATAGGGAATCGGAAAGGTGACAGAAAACAGAAATAAAAACCACGGAGGCGACAACAATAACTTTGTAACAGTACCACCAGAACATAAGATAATGGTGATTCAAACCCACATTGACGCCTGGAATACTGTATACTGCAATGGCCTTTGGCTAGAAGAGAGGGGGGTGGTCCTCATTTAGATGAATGCAGAAGTTCAGAGGCTAAAGTCTAACTAAAGGCTTGGAGGCGGCAAGATCTGGCGTAAGAGAAAACAATTCTTGAACTTAAATTTTTGGTGAAGCTTTGACATAATCCGATTCCTCCCACATGCCAAACACACGTGTTGTGAAATTGTTCAACCGTCCAAATGCAGGTCCCATCTGAAAAAAAGTCTTGAGACTCGGGGTTTTCTGGTCAAGCAAATGGCATTTTTCATACTGTAATAACGTGTTTCACCTGTCATCACACGAAGGTTCACGATGCTGTCACGTAATTCAAAAGAGCAAGTAATTGTATGGCAACATCACCATCCAAATTTAGATCTTAACTGCAAAGCTGTCTCCCTGTGGGCGACTGCAATATCACCGTAAAGAGAAGTCGGCATATCGACCAGTGTGACATTATCCGGCTCAAGTTTGTTTGAAATACTGTACATACAATGGAACACGACCGGAGATAGTACAGCGGACATGGCATGGACAGCCCAAAGTGCACGTGTGTCATCGTTCGTGTCGACCCTGGTACGACAAGAGTGATCCCAGCTCTGTACAACACTCTCCAGTCATTCAAGGCACCAGCATTATCAATCAATTAACCATCACTCAACATCGCCGCTCCTCAATGGGAAGCAGGGCTTTCAGCCTTGTTGGTTCACCACTCTAAACACGCACATGAACAAGCACAAGTCCCTCTTTGTTAATCTACAAGGGCCTCCCCACCTCTGCAGGTTGTGGGGGTTATTGAGCCCTACCTCACCGTGCTGGTCAATATGGGTTGGTGAAGGACGAGGATAGATAGATGTGGGAGCAGAGAAGGTCGGTAAAACAAAAGATGTTGCTGCACTATTCTCTGCTGTCCTCATTCAGCTCCGCAGCAAACAACAACCCGTGTTACACGTTGGGTTGGTCGGTCCATCCAAGCACTGTTTAAGGTCTCGATTCTACTTAGTTTCTGGGAACGGAAGGGATCTGGTGTATCCTGGATGATTTGTCATAACTCTCTGTACATATTATAGGCTGGTTCAAAAAGCCAGGCTGATCAACAGCCACCTTAAGCCTCATCCAATTAAACACTTTTCAATATCACTATTCAACACGAAGCTGGGATTACTGAACTAGTAAATGACGATTTGCCTGGCAAATTCATCATCCAACGTGATATTTTTTTACTAAAAAGAATCTGGATTAAACCATCACCTCCAACCTGAACGGTCACCCAACATCACCATGTAACGAGACATTAGGAATCCACATTCTGGCGAAAATAAATACATTTGCATCACTCTTCAAAATGCAGATTAGACAACTAAAGCAACACAACGTATAGCATTCGTCAGCTTCTGACTCAACTTGAACTTCTTGTCATAACTCACAACTTGAACTAATTTACACACCACCGCTACCAACCAAATGAACGAAAGTACGAGATTATCTAGGAATTCATCTTCAACATCACCGTCAAACATCTTGACAACTCATCAACAAGAAATCCACCAATAGCCTCTCCTCACAATGGGATAACCACAAACATGTCAAAACCTCATTATCAGTGCCCTCAACTAATTACAGACCAATTCAGACATTATTGCCCTTATAAATATCAACGTTCATCCTAAAAAGTCCCATCACAAGGGGGAAACACAAATAGACGAAAACTAAACATTGCCCTATTGAAACGGATGTACGCCGTATGGACCTGAAAACTAAATTTACCAGTACAAGAATACGGGGTAAACTGTATGGGTTGACACGTATGTAACTGTGAATCATCTCATCACACATCTTTACCACTCCCCAACAAGAAACGGTGATGATTACGAAATCCCCAATTTAACCTCGTCAATAATCGCTCAACAGTGGTGGTGGTGGGGGTAACGATGTAGGCACGTTGACCTTTTTTCGCACCGTACTGATCGTTGGAAGGACAAACAACAATGATTCCACATTCAAACCCGTCAACATCTTCACCCATCACTCTGTGAGGACTTGCGTCATTTAGGAAGCCACCTTCGACCTCCTCAATGCATCAATGTCACACCGCCGCTCCGTCCATACAACTCTCCATCATCACAAAAAACGCCGCTCTCGGCGTTCTAACCTCATAACTCAACAAACGAGTGGGGGATTAAGGACGAGGACATGTAAAAAATTACCTTGATAGACGCAGTAAATATGTTCGTTTTAAAACACTCAACCAAACGCAGAGATCAGACGACACTGACATAACAAACACAAAAAGGCCCCATCGACCACTCTGGCCAACATTTCACGAACTCACGTTCTCCCAGCAGCAGGATCCTCACGTCTTTCCTCACGCCCATGTTCAACGTAGATTCCGTGGAATTCTCCCAAAACCAACCCCCTCCTCCTCAGCCCCGACCTCCTCAGCCCCACAGCCAACCCTTTCAACAGAAATCAGACTGCGATGTGCTTCAAGAACGCCAACTTCACGGACCCAAGGTCGAGCCGCTAGGCCCAGGCGTCGGGCACACCGCCCCTCGCCTAGAAGCTCGGCCGCCCTGGGGCGCGCCTATCCCGGCAGGCGGCGGCGGCGGCGGCGGCAGCCGTCAGCCGCTTGTCCCACCACGGCGGTGGCTTCAAAGATTTGTTGGTAAAGAAAAATGTTTTAAATATATACGGCGGAGGCTGAAGAACAATTCAAGAAGAGTGCGACTGTGGCGACATCGCGGTTGAGAATATTCTCGTTTCGCCAGATTGCCGCCGTTCAAGGGCTCGGGTTTGCCGGTGGCGAGCGGGCGGGCGAGCGGGCGGGCAAGAAGGGCGGCCCACTAGAGGCGCTGGCGGGCACGTGGTGGTGGTGGCGCACGTGGTGCTGGTGCAGCTGGTGCACGTGGTGGTGGTGCTGGTGGTGCTGGCGCACGTGGTGGTGGCGCGCGTGTTTGTGGTGCTGGTGCAGCTGGTGCACGTGGTGCTGGTGCTGGTGCACGTGGTGGTGGTGCTGGTGCAGCTGGTGCACGTGGTGGTGGTGCTGGTGCAGCTGGTACACGTGGTGGTGGTGCTGGTGCAGCTGGTGCACGTGGTGGTGGTGCAGCTGGTGCACGTGGTGGTGGTGCTGGTGCAGCTGGTGCACGTGGTGGTGGTGCTGGTGCAGCTGGTGCACGTGGTGGTGGTGCAGCTGGTGCACGTGGTGGTGGTGCAGCTGGTGCAGCTGGTGCACGTGGTGGTGGTGCTGGTGCAGCTGGTGCACGTGGTGGTGGTGCAGCTGGTGCACGTGGTGGTGGTGCAGCTGGTGCACGTGGTGGTGGTGCTGGTGCAGCTGGTGCACGTGGTGGTGGTGCAGCTGGTGCACGTGGTGGTGGTGCTGGTGCACGTGGTGCTGGTGCAGCTGGTGCACGTGGTGGTGGTGCAGCTGGTGCACGTGGTGGTGGTGCAGCTGGTGCACGTGGTGGTGGTGCTGGTGCAGCTGGTGCACGTGGTGGTTTTGCTGGTGTACGTGCTGGTGGTGCACGTGGTGGTGGTGGCATGGGTCGTCGGGTGCCAGGTGGGATTGCGGGCCACGGCGAATTTCATCGGCGGAGAGAGCGCCGATGATTGTTAGCCGTGCGTCGCAGGCAAACGAACTCTTATCACGGCAAACGTGGGTGGCGGGCGCTGATGTGAGCCGTGGGTCGTAGGCAAACGAACTCACGGCAAAAACGTCGGTGGCGAGCGCTGTTAGCCGTGGGCCCCAATCAACGCACTCACTCGCACGTTAGGAGATATGATAGTAAATGTTAAACAAACTCTAAACAAATGTTAGGCATTACGAAGAGCCATTAAGCTGTATTATTGCAAAATCACAGCTTTCACGATTCAATATACATTAATGCTATTTTTCGATTTAAAGCTTTCGTGACTGCAGGGATTCATCTTCTTGGTTCTTTCGGTAAAGTCACGTAGAAGGGAGATAATAAAATAATAAAAATAAAACATTATTTTATTGTATTATTTTATTGTTCTATTTTTATTATTTTATTATCTCCCTTCTACGTGACTTTACCGAAAGAACCAAGATGAATGATATTGTGAGATAATTCGCGAGTATACATTTTTGGTTGACAGAAATGTACCGTTACATTTCCCATTTTTTTGTGATCATGAACAGAAGCCTGTCTCTTTAATGTCGTGTAACATATCACTCAATCAGACAATTTATCTTTTAATATTTATAACAATGTCTTGCATAAATGCTTTTCATTGTACAAAACGTGTTGAAGCATACGATAGGTATATTCAGTCGTGCATAAATCCTCCATATGATTTGAAAAAAAAAGATGCAAACACTCAACTGGAAGATTCCAAAAACAAAAACCTAAAATATTCATGCTTCCAAAATAAAACCTCATTTAAAAAGTTTAAATACTAATTTCTTAAACACACCACACATTATCAACATTATTAATGATCCAGTTTTCCCCCATTTCTTTACTTCCTAAAATCACAGCAAGACGAATAAAATAAATCCAAAGGTTAACGTCCACATAGGCTGAAGACATGTATCTTTCTCTAAAGAAGTCAAAGTGTTCCCATACTCAAATAAGCTGTGGGTCGTGCCAATCTCCTTTGGCAGGCCTGAGCTAGTGATAGAAGTTTCACATTTCCAATATATACTGGACTTAATTTTTGGATGTATGTTTATTCCTCACATCCCTGTCTATGTTGAGTATCTGTAGATGCCTGTGTTTGTTAACTTAGAGTAAAATCAGATGTTATTACAACACAAGGCTTTCAGTCTTCCGGATGTGTGCACATGTACGTAAGGCGAGAGGTATTTTCGAAGACGAATTCTGCTCTCTGCCCGTCAGTGCTGAGAAGACTGGGCAAGATCAGTGGCTGTGACCTTCCAAAGCTCCTGTAGAAACAGCACAAAGATAAAGCATTACTGGTGTTCGATAGGATGGGTGAGGGCCCATTGAGACAATATGCGTGCTTAGTAAGACCTAAGCTAGCAAAAATGTAAGAGGCTTGGGGCATGTGGGAATAATAGGTAGGAAATGTTTGTTAAAACAAAGCATATGTACTAGTTAACAAAATAAAAAATAATGAAAGCAGTACATTTACAAGAGAACTTTAATTATTTAGGAAAGCATCACTGAGACTCAAGTCTTGCTTTGGGATTGTTTGGATAATTCATAAGTTGTGTGAAAGTGACAGATTTTTATGTTTATTTACATTTTAAGAGCTTAATAAAAATAATACGCATAGCTATAAACACAAAAGCATCTGTAAAGTTGTGCTATTTTTAGTTAATCATACAAATCCATTTGACTAGGTAGACCTTGCAGCAAATGATTACCAACAACATACCATCTGCCAACGTGGCTTGTTTGAATCTCTGCATTCATAATGGAAACCAACGCTGGGCAATTCCAAGATGTTGGCCATACATTTCAGACAATTTAAAAGATGCGGACAATCAATAACGGAATCAAGAAGTGGCTTTTCAATTGAATACAGGTGTATCAAACAATTAGGAATGGGATTCAGATATGAATTATTTTCCACCTATCTTAATAAGGGAGAAATTATCATAATATACCGCGGTGACAGACGTACTCAAACTTTTCCATCTGCGATAATATGGTAATGGTGCATTCGGTTTCATGCGTGACAAAGATATTTATTCCGTAAAGAGGACATGTATTACAGGATTACAGACAATCACTCTTCAAATTGACACCAGATGTCTTAGTATCATTTAGAAATGTTCACTGAGGTTGCCGTATAAGTGGAACTGATATACAGTGGATGTAGTGAGATAAGAGAATTGTTGGCAAAAAGTGCAGTGAGATGAGACAAAAGAGATGTAGATGAGAGAGATTCATTGGACGTTGATGTAAATTAGCTTTTTCTGAAAGTATTTTCATTTTAGTTGATATTTCATGCACCCATATTTTCTTCACATATCCAGTGCCCCTTGGACTACATGAGTGCCTCAGCTTCTCCTTAGTACGCTTATGCCTTGTGCCACTGCGGGCACATGGAGAAGCCACGCCCTCCTTGGTGTATGAATTGCCAAGGGATGCGCCCTCACCAGCTGCTCCACGCGGTCGTACAGGATGGACTGCGCGAAGTCCGTAGACACCGACTCCACGGTGAACACCCTGCGCTCGCCCTCCATGTCGGCAAGCCCAGCGAGGCACGTGCGGAAGTGGTCGTACGCGTCGCAGGTCACAGCCAGCGCACGCAATGTGAAATTGTAGCTGTGTGGCGCGAAAACGATTCTTGACGTCAGGTCCACAATAAAACTCCCATTACTTTAGTGTCCATGTGTTTGTCATTTGGAGTGTGATAACAAGGAGCATGAGCCATCACGCAAACTCTTAATCATCCTCGCAGCAGCGGCTTTTGGCTAAACATCGGACAAAGACAGTCACCGCATCGTGCGCTGTGGCCGTCTGGAATGCTCTTCTTTCCAGTATTAGGAAGCCACTGGAGCTATGCACTTTTAAGCAAGATTGAAAACTAATTTCTTAAGAACTGCTTTTTGTGTTTAGTTTGTTGTCCTTCCCCCGCACCTTCGATTAGCACGGTTGGCTACGTATGGTGTAACATAATTTCAAGATACATACATATTAACAGTTGCCTCTTACTTGACAATTCCAATATAACTTTAAGAACTCTTTTGGCAATCAAGTACAAGCATCGACTGAAAACACCACACGACCATCATCATTAACGCTGCTTTATAGTAGAAAATTTGAAAAAAGAGGCTTTTTTTTTCCGACACTTTTTTCAAATTTTCTTGCTGTGGATTTCACACCTGATGATTGCTTGTGTTGCAGTCAAAACGTCGTGATAATTTGTATTGTTTTATATTTATGTAATTTTATTATTTCCCTTCTACGTGACTTTACCGAAAGAACCAAGAATATGAATCCCTGCAGTCACAAAAGCTTTAAATCAAAATTGTCATTACCGTTTCTCTATGGCGATGTAGAGGGAGCTGGTGCTGCGAAGGTTGTTCATGATGCGGAAGACAGTTCGAAACAGCCCATCAGTGAGCTCATCGTCATAGCAAACTACACACAGGCACAATCATGCAATTAATCAACGGATGAAAATATATATACTGTGCAGTGTATTAGTACAAGTATCCTGATATAACATGTCTGAGGAAGTGGCATTATGGTACGTAAGTTTTCACAGCCACTTGTAATCCAAGTGTGGTCTTCTAGGTTAGTCCGCGTGTTAAGCATTTCTTCTCTCAAGCTTTCGTCGCGCACTGCTGCGGGCATCGCTTCATCTCCTGAAGATCGCACCATCTCTCGAAGATGCCTGCGGTAATGCGTGCCGGTGAAAGCTTGAGGGAAGACATTCCAATACGCGCGGTGGAACTTGGAAGACCACTGCTCGGAGGTGGCATTATGGTCAAAGTGCTCCACTCTTTATTGGAAGGTGGCGAGTTTATATCCTATTTGTGGATCCAATGGGTTCATCATTTCCTTCAGTGTCAATAAAATAATCACCAATTTGTAGAAGGAAAACAATGGATAAACCATCCTCCACTACAATAATGTGGAGTTTCCACCACTAGTTCAAGGACCACCAGTGAGTGATAACTCCCCAACACTCGTTTGAACAGGAATATTCCTGACTTTTTACTTGCTTGGCTAAATGAGGCAAGTGATGAACACAATGCCGAGGTTTTTTAATAGAACTGCGGCTCCCCTAATGTGCCTGCGCTGTAATCGCCGTGAATTTTTATTCTACAAAGTGGCCCGATGATAAAAATGTATTTACCGTCGGCCGCGAGAAGCACGGTGGCGTTGTCGTGCAGATGT